AACTGTCCAATATAATAAACAAGTCATAAATCCCTAGTGTAAAACTCCAAAATAGGTAGAAGTTGTTCCTTCTGATCCTTCAGAGCTGCATACATTTCCCGTGCCTCCGGCCGTTCCATAAGGAGTTGTGTGCACCGTCTAAAGAAATTAGGATCACTGACAACTTCAGGAACTGTTTTCAGGTGAGACAGGACTCCCCTAATTGAAATCTCATAAGCACGCGCTTCTTCTTCCAACCTTTTAGCTTCTACTCGTGAAATGACCTCATTTCCACGCTCGGCCTCAGAAATATTTGTTTCAGCAATCTTGCTAAGTGCATCCGCTATTTTCATAGAGGGAGATGTGCGTTTCTTCTTGACTTCACTCTTCCTTTGACCCCCAGTGAGCTACTAGGTCGACTCCTACCTCTGCTTGTACCCCCACCACTGTTATCCTGCCTCAATTCAGTGTTGCCTCCACTACCTCCACTATTATCATTGAAGTTCACTGAGTTAAATTCCCCACTTATACCAGTTGGTGCGTCTAAAATTTCATCACTATCTCCGGACCCTTCTTCCAAATCTTCATTCGGTGTTCCTTCACTTGGAAGTGTCATGGAAGAAGGTGCCCATGCTTGTGGTCCAGTTGCAGCTACACTCCCGAACAGTTGAGTTAATTGATCCCTAAATTGAAGTCCTCTTTCTCTAAATTTTTCGTAGTTAGGAACTTCCTGCACATTAGACACCAATAATATCATATAATATCCAAAAAACAGTAAATATGCACAAAACATTAACAGGCAGAGAAAATGTAAGATCAAAAGGTTCAATAATTACTCTTATTTTCCTCTCCCACCAATCATCAGTTGCACTGACAGTATTCCTTTCAATATCCCATCCCAATCCTGTCTCGCGAAGCAGCCTATCCCATGTCTGCCACTCCTTTCGTAGGGAATCATATTTATTCTTAAATTGAGATTTTTCATACACTCTCCCAGTTTTGGTAGTAAACTTATCACCAAGAATATCCCAAGCTTTCTTTGTTAAGCTAGTACCTTTTCTTTCCCCTTGTTGCACAAGTTCAATGCATAGGTCAAGAAACACTTTTGTGATTCGTAGGTCTCAGGAAGCTTTCACTGTATCCTTACCCATTATGTTATATCACAATTACAGCTCTTCAGTCATCACAGGTTAATCAACTCAAAAGCAATTGTAATAACAAGTGTCATTGTTACCCAAATCAACTATGAATACCATATTAACATTTTTCTTTCATTCATTATTATTTAAAACAAAAAGAAATTCAATCTATGTATTTATAACATGTAATTAATTTTTTTAATCCAACATAAAATGGAACTATGTTCCCATTCCTTTCATGACTAGAAAAAATTAAATAAATTAATTTTAATTACCACAAATATAACATCCTATAATTTTATTCAAAACAGGATTACAAAAAATAAAACATAAGGATTACAAATATATGTCTCTAGAAAAACTAGTCACTTGAATAGACCGAAAACCAATCCTCTGACTGAAATCAGATAAACCAAGCTACACAAATGAATCCTCGAATGAAAATCAACCCACCACTGAAGCAGAATGTCAGCAACAACTATCAACCAAGCAAAACCAGCACCAACCAAACACCCCAAGCCAGCATTGGAAAAAAAAAATATTGCCACGGTCAGACGACAAACCGTGACAAGTTCAATGCACATTAAAAAATGCAGAGTATATAAAACAAAATTTTAGACAGCCCGGTCATCATCAACGTTGAGATGCTCGTAAAAATTATAGGGCGGCAAACTACAAATAAATTGCGCAGCATGGGTCAAACATTAAACACAAAGATTTCCATTTGCTATATTTGTGCGTATGAGAGTCCGGTGAAGGAGATGTGGAGCTAGATAAACATAAATAGATCTCAGAACCAAAAACAAATTCATAGATTATAAACCAACCGAAGATACCATATATCAGGCTCAAACCAACCGAATAATTTCTATCGTATGGCAAGCATAAACCAACCGAAAATCAGGCTCAACCCCAGATTGTAATTAACAAAAGCAAATCTACCCAGAAGCAGAAGAAGGTTGACTCGACGTCGCAGCCCGTAGAGAAAGAAACAGAGGCTGCTCTGGTTTTGGCTTGCAATTTGTAAATTTGCAATTACAAATATGATCCAGAATCCACAAATACTGAAACAGAGGTCGCAACTCGTAAATTTGCAAGTTGAAAATTGAGCTAAATTGAAACCGAAATTAACAGAAGAGATCGAGTAGCAGAGGATAAACGCCGGATCTGTGCCACCTTACCTGAGCGCCGGAGAAAGAGCCAGGGAACATCGACCACCGCCGAATGCTTCAGAGCGAACCTGAGCACCGGAACTCACAACTAATAGCTGCGATCTTCTTCCGCCGAGCTACGATTTCTCTCACCGGCACCTTCAAACCATGGCTAGACAGCGACTTCTTCACGGGCGGCGACTCGTTCTGTGAAGGAGGAAAGAGAGAAGGGGGAAAGGAAGACCGTGCATGGGGAATGAATGGAACGATGGGGAAGAAAGCGTCTCAAGAGGAGAGAAAGTGGACCGAGTGGGGAAGAAAGCGAGAGGAAGATCTATTTTGGACCGACTAGAATGGAAGAAGATAATTGAAGCCAGAGGAAGTCGTGGCTAATTTCGGTCATGTGAGGAGGGCCCATCGTCAGCCTTCAGCAATTAGAGCCAGAAGCAGACGAAAGTTGCTTCTGATAAAACAATGGTTTGGGGGTTCAAAACCATGGTTTGCTCCCAAACCATGGTTTTATATTTTCCAGAGGCTGTTTGGCTAGTATTTTTCCCAAACCATGGTTTGGGGTACTTGCCAAACAGGGCCTTAATCTCCTCTCTCCCACTGTCTTTCTCCAACGACCTCTTCAGCTTAACTTTCTTAAGACCTGCTACAACCTCACACATTGGAGATTGAGTACCATATATCACAATGGCCTTCGATAAGTCCTCCCTTTGCACCAATAGAGACTTGACCTCCTTATCATTAACCAAAGGAGTTTCTACCACAGGTTCAATCCCCTCGTTACTTTTTGCAACTTCATTGCTCTTCTCAATAATAGAATCATCGTTTGCCACCTCCCCTTCCCTTATTATAGTTCCCTCCTTCAAAGCCTCCTCTACGCGGTCAATCTTAGCAGGTCTCACATCAGTTTTCATTTTAACTCTCCTGATCACATCCTCACTTCTTCCAACATTTCTCACATCAGCATCCTTCCCTTTCTTTGGAGACTCCACCCAATCCCTCCTACAACATCTCACAGTATTCTCAATTGGTTTAGCAGCTTGAGTACTCAACCATCCTCCATACTTCAATTCAACCTCAGACTCCACATCCTCCACATACGTGCAATTCCTCTGACCGTGCCCAATTCTTCCATACTTATAGCAGAAATCCTGCAGCCTCTCATATCTAGCCTTAACCCACACTAGATCCTTATTTGGCCTTGGAGTCCATATTCCAGTAATCAGTGGCTTTCTTAAGTCAACAACCACTCGAGCACATAGGAAGCTTCATATCAACAGATTATTCCTCTGAGGATTCTCCACCATTACCACCTCAGCGATCATCGATCCCAATGTGACTGCATTTTCCTCGTCTATCGCTCCCAACGACACATACTGAAATTGAATCCAGAAAGGACAATAATGGAAGTCGACCTCCTTATAGATTGTAAATTCCTGCCACAACTGAACATTCAGCAAGATTCCTTAGATTGACCATGGCCTCCCTCTCAGGATCCTCAAATAGTCATCACGTCTTCTAAATTCAAAGATAAAAGCGTACCAATCTGCATCTGTTATCTCCAGATCTGAAGTCCTCTCAAGGTTCCAACCCTTGCGAATCATCCGAATCATGACCAAGCAATTAAGGTGCCTATCAGTCATCAATTTCCCTACCAACGCACCACCATACACCTTCCTCTGATCATTATTCCGCCAAGTCAAGTTCACAGCTAGCTCTTCCTTTTCATTGCAACTTCTCGACCCTTAGAGAACTTCCTTTGAACTTCCTTCCATTTCCTTCGAAACTCCACATTATGCCTTCTGAACCTCACCATTTCAGGACCATCACAATGCATTATAACCTGAAACTCTCCTTACCTCTGTCGCAGTGGGCGGTGAAGGGCTCTCTCAACTACGATGATAACCGTCGAAAACCACCTCTCACATAGGAGAGAGAGAAACCCCATGGAGGAGGGGGAAAAAATAATTTTCAACTTTAATTTTCATCAAAATCTGCATAGATTAGATATTTCTAAACAACCGGAAGTTTCTCAGTTCCTCTCTTTACATGTTTGATGGGCCACACTAACAATAACAACATATAATGCATATCTTCGAATCTTATTTTCAACATTAATTTGATGGAGTATTTTTTTCTTAAACATAGAGGTAATTTTAAAATAGTATTATCAAGCCTTTTTTTTTTTGAATTGGTTTTGAAAAATAATTCTTAACATTATATTACGAGCATCCAGTCTTGAATGTAAGATATAATTAGAGAATTAATATTAGTTAAGATCTATTTTATATAATTATCAATTTTTTCTCAAATATTTTCTAAATAATAATTAAATAAGAGAGAAAGGAAAAAAAATAAAAAAAATACCTTGGGTGTTTTAAAAAAATATATCATGTTAACTAATTTATCTAATATTTTTAACCTATTCAGATTAATTAATTATGACTTATGCTAAGCGTAGAGGAGCATTAACCAAAAACACAGAACAAATCAAACAGGCTCCAAGTATTTCTTGGTTCCATCTCATACCATAAAACTCCTTTGTGAATCTCAGCTTAGGAAGGAAACGTGCAGAGGAGCTCACATACGCAGTGCAAGACGCAGCCATCCAGTGCCACTTCTCTGGAAAAACGTTCACCCGACTCTCCTAAAGACGGAAAATCTAAGAGCTGTTCGGTAATTTCTGTGGGACAATTTTCCGTTGAAGGCCGGAAGATCTTCACTTGGAACCCCATTTCAAGCTACCAAACGCGCCAACTGTGGGAATCTGAGCCAAATTCATTCCATGTGATATTTTCCATGCACCAAACGGCTCCTAAGAATCATCCCATGATTTGATGCGCGAAACTCTTAATACGGACTATATTCATCAATCATGAGAGTATTAACGCCTAAGGCGACGGCGACTCACTCCGACGACCACCGCTTCGCCACTGTCGGTCACCGTGATGCTGAGTCGCTTTTTCGGACGAAGCCCATTTCCGAGATCCGAAATGTGGAGGCGAGTACGAGGAAGCAGATCGAAGACAAGAAGGAGGAGCTCCGGCAGCTTGTTGGCAACCGGTACCGTGACCTCATCGACTCGGCGGATTCCATCGTTTTGATGAAGAACTCTTGCCAATCGATCTCTGGCAACATCTCTTCGATTCATGGTGCGATTCGCTCACTCTCCCTCTCTCAGTTGCAGTCTGAATCTCCGTCCCAATCCTCTGCCACGCGCACCTGGACTTACGGCATCGCTTCCCGTGTAAAATATTTGATTGATACCCCAGAGAATATATGGGGTTGTCTGGATGAGGGCATGTTCTTAGAGGCAGCATCACGCTACGTGCGAGCCAAGCAAGCACATTGCAAATTGTTCTTGGACAATGGGAATGCCGCCGATGGGGATCAGAAAAAGATTTTATCAAATTTCCCTATCCTTCAGCACCAATGGCAAATCGTTGAGAGTTTCAGGACCCAGATCTCTCAGAGGAGTCGGGATAGGCTGTTGGATCGGGGCCTTACCATTGGGGCTTACGCGGATGCATTGGCTGCCGTGGCTGTTATTGATGAACTTGAGCCAAAACAGGTATTGGATTTGTTTCTGGAATCGAGGAAGTCGTGGGTCTCTCGTATATTGGTTGACTGTGATGCTGCTACTTCCGCTTCCTTTGTTGTGGTTTCTGTCTTCTGTGATGTGTTGGGCATAATTCAGGTCAGTGTTGGTCAGGTTGGTGAGTTATTTTTGCAAGTGATGAATGATATGCCTCTTTTCTACAAAGTCATTCTGGGTTCTCCTCCTGCATCTCATTTGTTTGGTGGAATTTCCAATCCTGATGAGGAGGTGAAGCTCTGGAAATTGTTTAGAGATAAACTGGAGTCAATTATGATAATGCTTGATAAAGACTATATTGCGAGTACTTGTAAAACTTGGTTAAGGGAATGCGCTAAAGAGATGGTAAACAAGATAAATGGAAGATATTTAATTGATGCCATTGGGAGTGGCCACGAACTAGCTTTGGCTGAGAAATCGATAAGGGAGACGATGGAAAGTAAGCAAGTGCTGGAAGGTAGTCTGGAATGGCTTAAGACCGTTTTTGGGTCTGAGATTGAGTTACCTTGGAGTAGGATCCGGGAACTCGTTTTGGAAGATGATTCGGATCTATGGGATGATATTTTTGAGGATGCTTTTCTTGGTAGAATGAAGGTGATTATTGACCTGCGATTTAGGGAGCTCACTGGCACTATTGATTTGTCTAACGTGATAAATGCAGTCGGGGACACTTCCGCCAAGCAGAATGATATGCAGGGGTACTTGAACAGACCATCAACAATCGGTGGAGTTTGGTTTGTAGAATCTAATGCCAGAAAGACCGTATTTAAAGTCCAACATGAAGAGAATGAATTTCAAACATGTCTAAATGCCTATTTTGGCCCAGAAGTTAGTCAAATAAGAGAATTAGTTGATATGTCTTGTCGGAGCATTCTTGAAGATATGTTGAGTTTCTTAGAATCTCCAAAGGCATCTCAAAGATTGAAGGATCTAGCACCCTATGTGCAAAGTAAGTGTTATGAAAGCATGTCTGCTGTATTGATGGCATTGAAAGGTGAGCTAGATAAACTGTATGCCATAATGGAGAGAGATGGCAATGTTTCTACAAATGCTACCATTGAAAGATCTCTTTTCATTGGTCGACTATTGTTTGCTTTGCAAATTCACTCTAAACATGTGCCCCTGGTACTTGGATCTCCTAGATCATGGGCGAATGATGCTACATCTGCTCTGGGAAAAATGCCATCAGTGATGAAGCAATCCAAGTTTGGAGCTGATTCTCTTGCCTGCGATGCACCAGGAAGACACACACTCTTTGGCACTAAAAGACAAAATTCTCTTGCTGCAGCTGCCTTGTTTGGAACAAGAGAAAGTGCAAGCCCACACTTGGAAGAACTGAGCAGGATTATGGGAGATCTTTGCATTAGAGCCTACAGCTTGTGGATATCATGGCTATGTGATGAGCTTTCAGTTATTGTCTCACAGGGCCTTAAACAAGATGATGCTCTATCTTTGAGTACTCCCTGGAGAGTAAGTACCGTTTTCTGATCTTTCCTGTTCATTTTCTTGGTTTCTTGTAATTTTTATTTTGTAACTTAAGCATGTTTGACCTTATGGTTATTTCGTATCTGCAACACTCTCTTATGCTTGTAAACTTTTAGGGAATTGGTCTTTCAGACAATTGGACAGAAGAAATACGATTTTGGATAGGATTAGAGGTACTCAGGTAGTATACATGGTAGAATATAAGGGCAAAATAAAGGAAATTCAAAGTGACATTGGTTGGGAATGAATATTGGTGACATGATTGCCAACGAACAGACAATGTTATGGATAATTCAGAATTCATTTTGTACTAGGATTTGCTTCCAGGCCTTCAACTGCTCACTGCTAAATACTATCTATTTCTCTTGACCCTTATATTACTGTGTTGACCTTTTATATTTTTCTTTTGCAATATATGTATGCAGATGTTGTGGGTTTTGGAAATTTTATGTCTCACTAAAGTGCATTGAAAACGTGTTAGTGGTAATGCTTACAAGATGTTTTGCTTTGGAAGTTAAATACATACGTTTTGGGAGTTCTGAATATTTAATTTCACATTCTACCCTTATTCTTGATGTTCTTGGAGGTTACACCAAGGATAACTGACGTTGACTTAGTCAGCATAATTTCTTTTCTCAGTTTTCGATGATTGTTCTCTTTAAATGCTACGTCCTACCAGTGATATGCAACAAGACATTATGCCTTTAAAATGTAGTCTAAGCCATGTAGCTCATCTCTCTTGGCCCTGCTTGAGGTGTTAGGCGTGTGATAAGTCTTGATTGGCATGATATTCCTTCTATATCTTTAATATTATTATCGTGAATGATTTTTTTTAGTTGTTTACCTACTGTTAGCGATGTGCTAATCAAAATCTCGTGGTCCTTAATCTTGAAGGCAGCTCATCTTTTGTTTGCCTGCACAGGGGTGGGAGGATACGTTGTCAAGCAAGAGCATTCTGATGAAAATGAATCCGAGATGAAAATATCTCTTCCATCAATGCCTTCTCTATATATAATTTCCTTTCTATTTCGAGCTTGTGAAGAAGTTCATCGAGTTGGGGGTCATGTACTGGACAAGAAGATTTTGCAAAAGCTGGCATCTGGACTGTTGGAAAAGGTATGAGTTTTTATGGAAGTGTCAGTCAACTTGATCTCAAGCTGCTGAAGTGTCTTTCTTTCTTTCTTTCTTTCTTTTTTTGGTAAAATGATTTTCCCCACTGTCCTTTTGCTTTCTTAATTTTGAATTATTAACACTGATTATCTGGCTTTTTGTGTTGTTTTTTTGGGATTTAAAAGCAAGCTTCATTTGAGGTAGAGAGAGAGACAGAGAGTTACAATAGAGGAGGATACAGTAGAGAAAGAAGCAGGGTAATAGGAAAAAGATACATGAAGAAGGAAAAGTGAAAAAGGGAAATAATGAAGATGAACTAAGAAAATGAAATGCTGGACAAGCAGTATTTATCTCAATCAAAAGTGTCAATGAGACTCCATCGAAAACCTGTGAACAAAAAACCAAAGGAAGCGAGAGGTTAAAACTTTGTCATAAATCATTTAGAGTTGCCTAACCTTAGCAATTGTAGCGGTAAATTCCAACCAAGTACCCTATATCATATCAACAATTGGAAATTTGCATTCTTCATTTTGTCCCAAACAAATTTACTCAATCAGTAAAAGCTTATTCAAAATTTGCGGGCAAACCCAAAGGGGGAATTTTAGAGTTCTTGTAATAGTATTTTACCCTAATATGCTGAGTTACTAGTAATGACCCTTTAGAGTACTAGGCATTACACCGTCTTACATCGGGCAACGATCCAAGAAAAACCTTATGGTGTAAATGATCAGAACTAGCTGAGGTGGGAAATGAGGACTTTGAAATGGTATTCTTTGCGATTGATGAGACTTTATATCTCGTCACATTAACGGCTACATTTTCCAAGTTAAGGCTAGAATTTGCCAAGGAGAAACTGGGTGAAAATTTGACTCTAGTTTAGCCTGATTGTTGAAGTGATATTTTGATCTCTACTTTACAAAATGTAGCATGTGATACTTTTTGTGGAATTGTTGAGTTTGATTCTGTTCGTCGGCAATCAAATGCTCTAAAAGGTGTAGAAGTTGCCTCAAAGTATGCTTATTAGCTTAGATTTCTGACTGTGACACATCTGACACATCTAGTCAATCAGGTGCAGGGAAGCATCTAATTGGATGGAACGCCTTAATAGGATATCACCCCTATTATGAGCAACCGTTTGACTGCCTCATACCAACTAGTTGTCTAAGTAAAATATTTCAAAATGGCTGGTATCTCTATGAGCAGTCAGTTGACCGCATTAAAGCAGGTCGGCAATTTGAGGTTATATGGACCAATCATTGAGGTTTTCTTTAATTTCTAAGCCTTTCAAGGACAACTAAAGGATAATATAAGATTATTTCTGAGTGACTTTTTAAGATTTAAAGGTGCAATTGAAGGATCATCTGGCCATGCTGCCTTGTTAACTTGATAAATGTTTGGCATTTAAAAACAATTTTCTAGCTAGTGGATCATCATGTTACCAAGATGGTCCTAATCACGGTGTATGTCTTTATGCTCTCATATGCATGTACAAGCTCTCTGACTATATTTCATTTTACAGATTATTGGAATCTTTGAGGAGTTTCTTTTCACCAAGGAGACAAGTGATCTTGGATTGTCAGAAAAAGGAGTCTTGCAGGTTCTGTTAGATGTCAAATTTGCCACTGATGTTCTCTCTGGGGGCGATTCAAGTTCAATTGGGGAATTATCTGGCAACCAGAAGCCAAGGTTACCTGTTAGAAGGAAGCAGGATCAAAGACTGATGACCTCAATTATTAGAGAACGTTGTGATCAGTTGTTAAAGCATCTTTCTCAGAGACTGGATCCTATAGACTGGCTCACGTAAGTTTTATTTTAGTTTTGCTTTCCTTGTTCCCTAGATATTAACGCCTTGAAATGCAGCAAGGGAGTGCAGACTATAAATGGAGGCCTCATGCAACATGTTACCCTTGCAAGCAACAATAAGTGAAATCATTTAAATTAAAGTAGGGAAAAAATTGAAATTTACTTACAAATCTCACGGAACTCTAGAGTTTGAAGGTAAAATATATAAAAGAAAATAAATTTATAGAATTGTTTGGATTTGTAATGAACATATCCATGGAAAAGTTGGAGTGGCTACTGGCGATGAGAAAATGGTAGAAAACCGTTTGAGATGGTTTGGTCACGTGCAAAGAAAGCCTTTGGATGCGTCGGTGAGAAGGGTTGATAAGGGTTGATCAAACAGCATTGAGTCTTCTTAAAAAGGGTGGGGGAGGCCAAAGAGAATATTTAATACAGCGAGATCTTTGAATTAACAATATATCCAAACATTTGGCCTTAGATAGAGCTTAATGGTGTCTTGCGATCCATATAGCCAAGTCCATCTAGTAGGATAAGGCTTTGTTGTTGTTGATGTTTGGAGCAGAAGCAGTGTACCAATCGTATTAACCATCTCTAGGCTGGTTGTTGATATCAGCCCATGATCTTTTATCTGAGAGTGTGCAGTCAAAATAATGGTTTGTGGTGTGAGAAAATTTGTCTTGTGTATTACTTTTGCACTGGTTAATACATTGGAAGGTACTCGTGTGATATGAGCTAACAATTAGATATTTTGACATTCTAGTAATTTCTGTGCTGTCTTCTCTAGGATCTTTTTTGGTGAATATTTCAATGCTTCTTTCTATTGATCTGATAATGATTTTGTGTAATATAATCTGTTAAAAGGTTTGAGCCATATCTTTGGGAGAATGAGAAGCAGTCATACCTACGTCATGCTGTCCTCTTTGGATTTTTTGTGCAACTCAACCGAATGTACACAGATACTGTTCAGAAACTGCCTACTAATTCAGAGTCTAATATTCTGAGGTGCTCTACAGTACCTCGATTCAAATACCTTCCCATCAGGTAAGTCTGAATTTATTACTTTTTTTTTTTAAAATTAAATTCATTCCCTGAGGCATAGCCATTTGGATTCCTCTCTTACAATTATTTCATTTAGAACGTACCCAATTCATTCAGCACCTTTTTTTTTTTTTTTTGGCTAAGGAACCTGTTCTGAAGTGAATTCTTACTCGTAAACTGATGTCTTGATAAATCCAGTGCTCCAGCATTGTCTTCTAGGGGGACAAAGAAGACATTTGCTCCATCTTCAAGTGAACACTCTTCGAGAAGTTCCTGGAACTCTCTTACAAATGGTGAGCTTTCTCAGAAGATGAATTTGGATGACAACTCAAGTCTCGGGGTAGCAGCTCCATTTCTGAAGTCATTCATGCAAGTATGTCCTTGTCCAAATTTTCTGATGGTTCTACTTATCTTATTGTGGCCTGATGCATTATTTCATGTATGCTTTTTCTAAGAAATTAAAAGCATAGATGCCGCATTTCTTTCTATTTATGTCTATACTATATCACTTTTTTAGGGACCCACAGCTGCTAATGGGTTCAATGATGCATGGTTTCATACTAGGATTTCGCTTCCTTTTCCATCTTTATATGAAGACAAAAAATATGCGTTTCCGGAAATGTTAGTGCTTACACCATATGGACTTTAGGAACTGCATGCTTTAGGGTCCAAATTTTAAATTTATTTTAGTGTAACAAGTCAATGCAATCCCGTGTAATCTTGTTTTCCTTCTCTTTTTGAAAATTAAGGTTTCAAATGGTTGCCTTGGGATACCTATATGTAAATATTTTTTAATATATCGATAAGCATAAGGGATGCTAAGAGCTGGTGTATAAGGAAATCTTTTTAAATTAATGGAAATAATAAAAATATGGTTGACAGATCATAAGCTCAATGGAGCTTTTAAATTACTGAAGATCTCATTGATTCCTGTTTCGTCCAGCAAGTTTTAGATTTTATAGACATATCGAATTATTGGTCCTTTGTGCCATAAAAAGGTGCAAGTGGGAATCTTGAAATTATAGATATTATGAGTGACATTTATATTAATGATTGACTTATATGATCATAGTCTTGCATTCACCATCGTGTAGATATTTTACTTCTTGTATCAAAACATAATTTACCATATGAAGGCAGCTTGGCATACTTTTTAAGGTAATTGAACGTTTTTTTTTCCAATGTTTGTTCTAGGTTGGAAGTAGGTTTGGGGAGAGTACTTTGAAATTGGGATCCATACTGACTGATGGACAAGTTGGCATTTTCAAGGATAAATCAACAAGTGCTATGTCATTTGGTGATATTCTACCTGCTCAGGCTGCTGGTCTTCTTTCATCTTTTACAGCTCCCAGATCAGATTATTGACTTTCGGATGAATGCAAGGCACTAGTGGCTTTTAAATGAAAGAATATTATTTGCAGCTCCAGATGTTAAACATCTGAACGAATGAAGCAATTGAAATGTATGGGGACGAGGTTATTTCATGTTAATGGGTTAAAGGATCTTTTGGCTTGGAAACAAGTGTGAATCGTGACAACTGTTGGAGCTGCAAGCGTGAGGAAGTTTGCCAAGCAACAGATTATAAGAGCACAAACTGAAATCCATGGCATTGATTTTGTTTGTCATTTGGTCCTAGGCTGCTTAGATGTGTCTATGCAAATGTTTTAAGTGAGAAGAGCTATGATTAATGGCCACTGTTTCGCCTCTCACTTACATAGTTGAAAAGTTATAGAAAATTATAATGTCACTATTCTTAAAATGTGCCAAGGAATCATATAATGTGTAGTTGTAATTTTGGGTTCTTTTACTGTTCTATAGAGGTTTTGTAATTTCCATAAAATTGTATCCTATTATTTGTTTATTTCTAATTCTAATTAAAAGGGGTTCAAACCAAAATGTCTGTTCCCACGGAGAAGTTAGATCAAATAGTTACGCAACTTGGGGTGTATTGGGCTCAAAAGAGGAGCGGGGAGGAGAGGAGAAGAAGGATTTTAGTGAAAAGAAAGGGAAGAAAAACAGAAGAGGGATTTTAATATTATCTTTTTTAAATTGATCAAGGGAGAGGGGAGATTTTTTATGATCTAATATATAATCTGATAAGAGTGTAATAGTTATTATTTCTTTCCCGTATGATGTAAGATCAAAAGCGTAATATGAGTATGTTGAAAACTAATTTTAGACATACTAATTAAAGTAAGCTAAAATATCAAATCTTTCAATTTGAGAGAGGAGGATTATGAGAGGAGAGATGGAAAAATCTTAAAAAAATTTCTCTCTCCTCTTAAAAATTTTAGCAATCCAAACAAGGGAAGGAAATAAAATCCGCCTCTTCTCTCCTCAGGGCAAACAAGCCCTAGATACTCATTCATGGAGCCTGACAGGTTCTCCTTTTCAGAGTATCCGTCTTTCCTTATCCGAACGCCTACCCTTGTTTGGATGGGGGGAAGAAGATCTGAAGATAAGACACATTTTTCCCTGTTTGGGAAAAGAGAAAAAACTCGAGGGAGGAAAAACCTTGAGGTTTGTCTCTAAATTTTCTCTCCAACACCTGGTGAGATTTTGAGAAGAAAATCTTTATTCCAGCATTTGCCCTCCTTCCCTCTTGACCTCTCTCTCTGGCTCTCTCACGCGTCAGACTTCATGCCATTCATTCTGCTTCACATCCACCTTCCCACCAGCGCCCGTCGCCTCTGTTCTGAACCTTCTTCTCAGCACTGTTTTGGAGCAGCGGCATCGATTCCATCTTCAGCCTCTACCTTTGTTCTGAATCACCAACAGCACCGTGAGACCTGTTTAAAGTGAATGAATCTCCACTTTCTGATTCCAGATGAATGTTCCTCGGAGTTGAGCAGTGATAATTACCTTCATTAATTGTTTGAGAATGCTAATCTTTACATATGATTTTTGTCTTTCATTGACGGTTAGCCAGAACCATATGTATACCAAAGTGCAGAATATACACAAGGCACATGCTCTATTCCTGATCATGAAAATAGTCGACGGATCTCTGTCCGATCACTATATTCTAACACTTGATCCTGAAGTTTCCTATTGCACCAAAAAATCCAGTGTAGCGTCCTTTGTTTATCAGTGAAAATGCTGAAGACAACGATTCCGTGGCTAATTTTCTTTGCTGGGAAAGTGGAGATTGTGAATTTCAGGACTTGACACAAAGATGATTAGAGGATGGCAACTAGGATTTTCACATCCTCTAGAATCTTGAACAGGAGTCCGTTTTGTGCCAGTATTTTCTTGAAATTATGTTATGCCGTCAATATTTCTAACTCCTATTTTTAGTTAGTTAATTTGAGTAGATTAAAAAAATTAGTTAAGTTAATTATTTATAATAAATACTATTTCTATCCTTAATGTAAAAACTCATTTGATTTTTATTTTGATCCTAAATATAAAATTTCAATCCATTTTGTCTCTTATATTTATTTTTTTCAAGATAGTTTTTTTAATAATGATAATTCTAACCAATACACTTGATCAGTAAGGATATTTTATGAAAGATAATATTTATTTATTACAAATAATTAATATAACTAATTTTCCTAATCTACTCAAATTAGTCAACTAACTCTTATATATTAAGAACCCGAGGTAGGAGGTGTTATCTTTCTTAAAACACTTTTGCTAAACATATTAATTAGAACTAAAATTTAATAAAATATTTAATATGCGTAACTACTATAAAACCTATCTTGAAAAATAATAAATAAATATAAGAGATAAAGTGAATTTAAATTTTATATTTAAACTAAATTAAAAATCAAATTAATTCTTATATTAACCATCGAAACTGGAACCATATAAACAAACGTCCATTCCCCTTGTATCCACAAATCATGAATAAGCCAACAGCGCGGACAGCAAAATCCAACACCTGCTTTTCCATACTTTTAGGTGCGTATGGTATGAGAGATTACGAGGGAGGAGGAAGGATTTTAATCATTTTCTTTTATTTGACAATATATAAATTTTAGGTGGAGAGGGAAAACCCTCCAAAATTGGAAATATTTGGAGGGAAATAGTAACATTTTGTCATGTTGTGATCATTATGCCTATCTTTATTTTTAATATCCCTATACTATTCTAGATCTTTTTTTTCTTGTCTCCAAACACTGCTCTCTTCTTTACATGTAAGTATTAAATTTGAAAAGATAAAATGGACAATTCAATGAACAAAGTTTTAAAGATTTAAATTTTGACATATATAAATTATATATGTCAAAATTTAAATCCTCGGAGCTTTATAGCCATACATATAAAAATAGATAAAAACGAGGTCTCATGTCTAATGAGTTTATTTGTTTGACTAAATATTTTATTTAAAAATAGGATACAGTATAAGTTGTGGCTGAACATTACTTTAACCTTCTTTTCAATAATACTTCACGCTCTAAGGTATATTAGAATTTTGGTATAAGTATTGCTCAATATATTAAATGTTATTTACAATTCTATTTTATTAAACACTATAAAATTTGAAAAAGTAATCTTAAATAAACTAAAGGCAAAATTATTCATGTCAAAATATTTTTCCCTCTCCTCTCCTCATAAACCAAACAAGGTAATATTAAAACTCCTATCCTCCCCTCCCCTCCCCTCTTATAAACTCAAATAAGATAATATTAAAATCCTTCCACTCTCCTTTCTTTCCATTCCCTCCATTAAAATTTCTCCACTCCCCTTCTTCCGTCTTCTCATTGAGCCAAACAAACCCTTAAGCCTCAACCGACTTGACCTCATAATATCCAATTCGGCTCCAAACTTAGCTTTAAACAAAAATCAGAAAATTGTGGTTACTGTTAAGTTTTTTTCTTTTGATAAAATGATTTGTTGGGCTGAAACAACTTTTTCATACAGTGATTAATGTTAAGATATACTTCAATGGGATCCTTCTACCTTAGTGTACATGTGCATTCAAAATTAATACTGATAGTTAATAATATCAGGATTGTATTAATGACATTAATAATTTAAGTATAGATAGAGATTATTATTATAAAAAAGGGGGGAATTTGAGGAAGTAGTCCATTTTTTTTTTTGGGAGCCAGAAAGAAAGCAGTGAAATGGAGATTATGGAATGATGAATCCAAAAGAAAAGTCCTATGTTTGGGAAGCAAGGGGCCCTCCGGTTTTGAGTGTCCATATAAAAGGTCACCAGTCCAGCTCACCCAACCTTTCCCATTTAGGCAAGGACAATTTCTCCCCGTGCCACGCACCTCCCAGCATCTCTCTTTTGAATTTTCAACTCAATCATTCTAATTTTTAATTCTAAAAAAAGACAAGAGAGAGAAAAAATGAAAGTAATAATGATAAAAAAAGAGAGAAGCAGTTGGCGAGAGAGAGAGAAGCACCTAGAAAAGTTTAATATTGACGAGGATTGTCATAAGTTATAGAAAAGATTATCGCAATATCGATTTCTTGTGAATATTGCAGTTTGTACAAAATTATATACTCCTCCTATCCTAATTATAAAACCCAAATAACTTATTTAAGGAGATTAAAAAGTAAGTTAAGTTGGTTATTTATAATAAATAAGTGTTGTCATTTCTAAAATATCCTTGCTAATTAAGTATATTGGCTAAAATTATCATTATTAGAAGGATTATCTTGAAAAAAATGCATAAATATAAGAGACAAAATAGATTGGGTCTTATAATTAGGACCAAATAAAAAATCAAATTGGGTCTTATAATTAGAACCGGAGGAGTACGTACATAGACAAAGTCAAAAAAATATACAGAGAGAGAGTAATATCACTTGTGCAAATAAAACCATTTTTCACCTAATTGAAAATAAAAGAATAAACAGGTTGACAGATTTCGCAATAGCCTTGGACCTTTTAGAAGATATAGCTAAGTTGCTACCTGCTAATATACTACCTCCGATCATTATAAGAAATCATTTCACTTTTGTTTTGTTCTTAAATATAAAAGTTCAATTCATTCTGTATTTTATATTTTTTTTTCAAGATAATCATTCTAATCATGATAGTTTTAACCAATAAACTCTATTAGCAAGGACATTTTAAGAAAAACAATATCTATTTATTACAAATAACTAACTTATTTTATTTTCTTAATCCACTGAAATTAGCCAATTAGCTCTTATATTTATGACTGAAAGTAATACCATCTTTAGGATATTATTCATAATTAAAGTGAATGAAAAATATTTTCTTATACATCATTTTGAATGACATTAATCCAAATATGACGATACACAAATTAGCATTTTTCATCAATAGAGGTATTATCTTGTTGGAGGTAATTCTGTTTGAGACATTGTTAGGTATTAAATGTGGACACCTCTCCCAATAGAATTCAAACTTAGTTCATCATATTGTGGGGCACTAGCTCTATTTCTATGAGACTTAGCTTATATCAGTAGAAATTCACATGTTACCATAGTCATGGGATTAAGATCATATTCTTTTTTCGGCCAATTTTATATCGTCTTATACTCCGTAAGACAATATCATAATTCTCGAACTATATATGAAGTATGGCCAGTTAGTATTAGAAAAGGTGAATCATGGAATCAAAAGTAAAATTTCAGGTTTAAGTTTCTTCCTTTGACATATGCCTGAGAAATATTCATATTTTATCTATTAATCGTATACAACTAATCCAGAATTATTACCTCGAATCAGAAAATATTACACGCATTAATTAAAACCCTTGGAAGTGACTCGATCCAAATGAACTTTCTCCTATGGCACTGTCCTTTGTTGGATAAATCATGCCTTTTAATAAGATGTAAGTTTTTTTTTTTTACCAGCAATTAATAAGATGTAAGTTGGTTTTTGTCAAAAAGGGCATCCTATATATAATTAATAATGCATAACAACTATGGTTTTCGAGTGATATTTAACGAACACTATGATGGTGTTTGTTACATGTGCCAGCTTTTTCCTCACATTCTCGTAATTATGCTATGTAATAGGTTGACCAATCGAAATGATTTGAAGTTAATTCCCTACTTCTTTTGCTACAAGGCGGCGCTTGACAAACAATTCCTCATATGATAACAAATTTCTGTATAAAAAGATCAAGTAAGAGAAATATAAAAATCCATGTTATTTGACTTGCTAACACTGGATTAAAAAACTAAAATATAAAGAATAATTTAAAAAATAGTAAGTTTTAACAATAACAATAAATCTATAGATCTCTATATATGTCGACAAATGAATAGTATATACTAATGTGTGAAAGAAAAGAAAGTACCATGAATTAAAATTTTCATATACCAGCACAAAAATGATTGAGTTTTCTAATTTAACAATAATAATATAATGTAAAAATGCATTTACGAAGAGCGAGGGGATTCCTTATGATTCCGACTATGCTCTAGTTCCTAAGAAAAAGTAGTTAGGCTTTTCTGATATTAAAAGGGGCGAAAAAAAGGAGCCAATTAACTTTTTTGAATTCCAAATGATGATTTCATGTATTGGTGGTGATGGCGGCATTGGTAAAAGTTAAAAGCATGGGTGAAAGAGAGCAACTAGTTATAACTTAGCTAGGGTTAAAGTGATTGGTAAAAGAGAAAAGCATTGGCGAGTGGGAGTAATTAGTCATAACTTTTTGTTTTTGGTCAGAGAGTAACTAGTCATATATATAACTTAGCTAGGCTTAAAGCTTGAGACGCAGATGAGGCAAAACCAGAAAACTTGTGATATTACTAGGGTCTGAATTCATTGAGTAATTGATGTTAAGATAGAGGTCTAATTAATGTTGTCGTTTTCAAGACATCGAAACATATGGGATTTGGGTTTGGATGGATTAAGAAGTAGAACTAAGGGTAACTAGCGTAGAAAAATAAGATGAAATTTCTTAGGATTTTGATGTTTTGGAATTTAATCGCGTCATGGGCCACATAAGATATTCAGTATTGGTTGTGGATTCACTTTAATTAAATGATCCTATATGAAATTGATGATAATTATTCAGTATGTTGTGTTGGTGACTGGGTTAATTAGATGTTGTTCGAATTACTTTGGTGGCTTAGCTTGGTGGCTTGGATTACATTAAAGTGCCTTGAGCTTCAAACACGCCTTCAGTTCACTGTATGAAGGAATGGTTTTGAACATGTCAGGATGATATGATTGAAATTTAATCATTATGTACAGATTCTTTAAATGTCTGTTTTGATGCTCTTTTATTATAGCTAACTTTTAATATGAAGCTGAACATTTTTCTATTACAATAGTATATTATATAGCAGGTTTATTTTGGGCCTATCATAGGGTTAATGATTTGATCAGTGTGTTAAAAGTAAAGGTTGTAATAAGAAGAAGGTTACATTCCCCGAGTTCTGCCTCAGTCTGCAAGTGATTCTCCCATCGATCGAGTCCCTTCCAATTTCTTCTTTTCCTTCACTTTCCTTTCACTTTCTTCTTTACTATACTATTATTCTTCTATGTTACGTTCTTCTTTTGGCTTTTCCTTTCGTCATCTTTCTCGACCTTTTTCGATCTTCTGCTCCGTTTAGTCTGTGTTTGGCCTCCATCTCTGACCTCTTATTTAAGCCAGATCAACCACATAGATCGTCATAATTTTTTTTTTAATTTTTTTTAGTTCTTATAACCGGTTATTCTAATTTTTGATAGGTTCAGTTTAATTCTACCAACTTTAGTTATGACTTAATAATAAAGGCTAAAGTATACTTTAAATTATTTAACTTTATGTAAGATTTTATTTTGGTTCCTTAACTCTAAAAAGTAAACTTTTAGTCATCTAGCCCTAAACCGTTAATAAAAAAAAAAATAATGATGTTGAGCTCTTGAATGTTGATAAAACATTATTAAATGCTAACATATTTAAGTTTTACTTTCAAAATAACCATTATTGTTACAGAAAATATCATTTCAGACTATAAATTCTAGGTTAAAAAACTAAAAGTATACTTTTTAAAGTTAAAGGATCAAACTAAGACCTTATATAAAGTTAAAGAATTAAATGTATATTTTAACCTAACAATAAGTCTTAGAGTAAAATACACATATTACCCTTTTATTTTATCTCAATTATAAAAACTTCCTTCTATTTTGAAAAAGTATATAAACTTCTTTTAAAATTAAAATGTATGTTACACAAACCTCCCTCTTTCCTATATTTAAAATTTTATTTCTATTTATCCAAAATATTAATTGACTGTTAAGTTTGACTTTAAATTATTTCTTTGACCAAAATGTCTTTTTTTTAACTTAATAATTATCAAGACATTTATATTTTCTAAAAAAAAATTTAAAATAAAAAATAATTCTAATACATATATTTTTAAAATTTCTCTCATGTTATGAAATTTATTAATTTCGATCTAAATCATAAAATTTTATAATTTTAATATTTTATCACATTTATTAGAAATTATTTGTTTTGATTTTTTTCTCAAATACATAGTTTTTGTTTATTGTAAAGTTTAAATGATATAAGTTGGAAATATTTTATAAATTATTTAAATTTATAATTTAAAACTTCTAAACACATCTTTGTTACAAAAATTTATAAATATATTTAGTCAAGTATATATGTTTATTAAAAAAATTAGTTAAATTTTTAATCAAGTTTTTTATGTTTGCTTTAACTGAATAAATTTCGTATAACTATAAAAATAATGTAGGAATTTATTAGAATGAAGAATAAAATATTAAATTTTTATTTTTTTCATATAAATTTTAATTAAAAATAAATATTTTTTTAAATTTTTTTAGAATATTACTAACTGTGTTAACTAATTAGATTAAACTGCATGTTTTTAAAATAGAGAAAAGATTTGTATAATTAATGTAAATTAGAAAGACAAACAGAATGTTTTATTTTAAATCTTATTATAAATATAACATGTGATGTTAGCCTCCTGCAAATTATATGACGAAGAAAGGTGAGCTCGTCAAGCTAAGCTGCGTACACAAATAAAAGACTCAAACAGATAAAAGATGCCATTGGCACCGAAGAAAAGAAGAGTGATGTGAGAAAGGTCAAATCATGCACTGTGCCTTTGTCATTATCACCAGTGCTGGCACAGGAGTTTCGTCATCTTGTAATACTTTGCCATTTGTCGCCTTCTCATTGGCCCCACCCTCATTATCCTCCTCCCCCTCTCCTCTCTCTAACACGGAGAGCTGCTATACTCTCACTTTCAATACCAGCGGTAGACTCGGATCATGTCTCCTTGTAAAAAGGCCTTCACAGCAACTAAATTGACTCTCTCTCTCTCTCTCTCTCTGGGCGAACCCTTTCCGTATTTTTTAATCTTTGATCATCGCACGCATATGGGTGATCCGTACCCTTATGGGCTGCTCGATTTCCAGCAACTCATAGCTGGAAGAAGCAGCCACCATGATTTGCCCGAGCCACCGTGTCTGGGCGGTGCCACTGCCGGTGCTGCAGCAGTGCCGGCTGCTCCAATACCTAACAACTATAACGTCGTTTTCTCTCATGGGTTTGCTACTACCTTCGCTCCTTCAAATCATCATCGAGACTGTTCCTCAAGTGTTGTCAATAATATTAGTCCCACCTCCACAAACCCTACTGTTACTGCTTCTGCTTTAGCAAATCATGGCACTACCACTGCATTCTGTAGCAGCAGCAGCAGCAGCATGGAAGTTGCAGAAAAGGGATGGCTTGGATTTGATGCTGCGAACAATAGATGGCCTAGACAAGAGACTCTTTTGCTCTTAGAGATCAGATCTCGTCTTGATTCGAAGTTCAGAGAGACCAATCACAAAGCTCCCTTATGGAATGAAATCTCTAGGTATATGAACACATCTTCCATACATCTAGTTTTACAGCCTTTTTTGTGTAAAATACATCAAAAGTGCAAGAATTGAAAACCTCCTGCCAGCCAAGTCCACTAGTTAGTGCAATTAATGTTCTTAAACTTCTTCTGTTACGTTGCCGATTTCTTTTGCAGCTGAGGACTGTTTGACGATCAAGTTTTGCTTTATTTCTTTTTTGGGGTTTCGGAAATTTTCTTTTTTTCTTTTTTCTTGGAAAGTGGAAGGCCCTGGCTCGCAACGAACTGAGTTTATTCAGAGTTCTTTTTGCTATGAATTGTCTAGCTAGTTTTGTCCAGGAAATTCTACTGGTCCAGTGCGCAGTTGCATCGGGTTTTTGGTAAGGAAATCATTATTATAGGCGCAAGAACTTCTCACCTTTAAAAGGAAGGTTGTCTTTGTTTTCCAGTCCTGTGTATAAACCTACAATTTGCTTAGCTAGCCAAGGCTATTGGAATTCAGTTAATTAAAAAGAAAAAAAAAGAAAAACAAGCTGATAATGCATATCTCTCAAACATCATTATTAGTGTATACATTACAATTTTTCTTCATTATTTTAAATTCTTAATGCTTTTCCAGAAAAATCATATTGTTAAAAAACACCAGGATTTGTTATATTTAAGCTCATGATGGGGAGGTTTTGACATTTATAATTAGTGCTTCGTGCATGCATAAATATTTTTAATGTCTAAGAAAGACATTTTGTTCCTCAGGTTGTACTTCTTTTCCTAAAACGGTGATGATGCTCCTGTGAAATGCTTATTGTACATAATATAATACTATGCAAGCTAAAATTTGAGCAATCAATAGTATTGCTTATAGACAACAGTGAATAGTATAACTTATTATAAACATTATGCATACTTTTATATTGATACTGATGTTGATGGATAGGGATCTTGTTCTAGTTAGTCTATTATGTGTTTTAGAAGCATATAATAGGTTTGTGATTTATATATCCGTGTGTGTTCCAGGATAATGAGCGAAGAATATGGGTACCAAAGAAGTGGAAAAAAATGCAAAGAGAAGTTTGAGAATTTGTACAAGTATTACAAGAAGACCAAGGAAGGGAAAGCAGGAAGACAAGATGGGAAACACTACAGATTCTTTCGTCAGCTTGAGGCAATATGTGGAGAATCAACCAGGAACATTACTACTTCTGCTAATTACCAACCTCCATTGATGACCTTCACAGATGGTGATGAACACATTAACAACAACAACAACAACATCAAGTACTGCTCAAAGAGCCTTAGCCTGTCAAACAATTCATCAGACCAATTCGAGACATCCTCATGCGAAAACAATGATGACAAGGACCTGTCAGCCATTGCCTATGGGATGAAGCAAAAGCATGTGGAGATAGACCGCCAAATTAGACACAGTGGAGTGAGGGAGAGGAAGAGCTTGAGAGGTGAGGTTGAAGAGATTGTGGACTCTAACATGAGGAAGATCATAGAGAGTCAAGACGCTTGGATGGAGAAGATGATGAGTGTGGTTGAGCACAGAGAGCAGGAAATGATGTACAAGGAAGAAGAGAGGAAAAAAGATTCAATAAAATTCGATCAAGAAGTGTATCAACTCTGGGCTAAAGAGAGAGCTTGGGTTGCGACTAGAGACACTGCATTAATGGAGGTCGTGAAGAAACACTTGGGAAAAGAGATAACAACAGATCATCATCAGCCTATGGTTGAGGAATACGAAGAAGAACCACAAGCCAAGAATAAGAACAATGGTGAGCGCGGACAGAACTGGAGATTTCAAATCTGATATAGCTGAGGAGTGGCTTTGAAATGAGACTCCAAGAAGGTGGAGGTGGAAGTGGCCAGTGGGTAGATATTGGAGAACAACAATAATGGTGTTTGTTTGGGATGAAATAGCAACAAAAATGGCGTATATGGGATTTGATATGAGTGCCAGCAAATACATGCAGTGACAATAACAAGACAACAATAGAGAGTAAAAGTAGTGTTGTGAAAACGAGGATGTTGTGTCGGGGACTTCATCTGACTGAGGATGAAATTTCACATTCAAGCTCTAACGCTGGAACTAGAGGTAATTATCTAACAGCTGCTTCAGAGTTCTACTACTGCATACTTAAGAGAAAGCTTCAAATTAAAAAAAAAAAGGTTGTGGGTGTTCGTGTTTTGCTAAGCACATGTATCATTCTATTAAAGACAATTCTGTTCCAAACAGTGTCGCCCACTAAATGTGGACACTTCTTTCAACGAATATTCGAATCTTAGTTCATCATATTGTGAAGGGCTAACCCTTTTCCTTAGATGCAACTCTATTGGTATTTTCTTAGCGAAGGTGTGTGTGTGGAATGCACATGTGGAATATACATTTAAATATGGGCCTATGAAGGCCGTGGCTGTAACTTGTCTATTTCGGGCTAGTGGTCTTCTTGAATGTTGGGTTTAAATGGATTTAATTAGCAAGGCTTAAAATTTCCAAATGTTGTATCAAAAAAATTTCCCAGTGTTTGGGAAAATTTTAAATTTTATAAGCTGGTTAATTTTTTATTTTGGTATTTATAATATAAGATGTTATGGATAAATTGGATCAAGTTATTTAGATACGCAAGGGAAGAAACTTAATACGGTAGTTGAAGATTCTTTATTAAAAAAGAGTTGAAGATTCAACTACATATTCTGTGGCTATTTTCTTAAAGTTTATTTTATACTACATAAGAACTAGTTAAAAATTGAATTTGGTCCTAAATATAATATCTTAATCCATTTTATCTTTTAAATTTATAATATTTTCTCTAAAATATCTTTATTAATTGTAAGGGATTCCCATTAAAAGATAGTTTCAATACGTATGATTAAATAGGATAGTACAAGAAAATCAACACATATTTATTATAATTGATCAACTTAATTAATTTTTTAATCTCTTTAAATTAGTTATCTAGTTAGAAGTAGTATATAGTTTATGTTATTCTTTAACAGGCCTGATCAATCTACATGGTGTGGATTGAATCGTTGAACAACAAGATCGAGGCAAAACTTTTGAGATTGCAAGTTTAATGGTTTGATTAGGTTAATTAGTCAGGCCAAGAGAATAACCTTTATCTGGTTACTTGCACATTTCACTTACTTGAATTCGATGGTACGATGAACTTTTAGAGGAATCGGTCAACAGGTAAATTTACTAAGCCATGTTTTTGAGTAAGCAACGTATATTTGCAGCAAAAAAGAAATACCCCACATCTAAATTTACATTAATTAGATAAAGGAATATGCGTGACTAGTGTTATTTTCCCAAATCGTGAACGAGGTGATGATAATTAACCCATTTAATTTGTTAGAAAACTGATGATAGAATAGATATGAAAGTTGCCCCAGTTATTGAAGAATGGCGGGAAAAAAAAAAGATTAGGATAGAAAATTTTCACTATAAAAGACAGAAAAACAAATTCCACGACATCGGTTGGAGAGAGACTAAATATAGATAAATATATGATCCGATTTTAAGTCAAGACAGTAAAAAGAAAATGATCGTAAAAGTTTGAGTCGCAATTTCAATATGAATATATGATATTTTAAGCCATGACTAAGTATTTCATTTTTAACCTTTTTAATGCAACACATCATTAAAATGTGTATTTTTGCCATCCATATTTTTTTTATAATCTGATTTGAAAAAAAGTGGGTGTAAGCATAGTACAAAAAATTGGACTAAACCCGCTGGTTTAAATAGAAAACAGACAAATTGACCTGATTTGGTTTAAGTGTCAAACTAGTAAGGAGTCGAACTAGTATCAGTCTGGTCAAACCAATGTGAATAGGTGAAAACCAGTGATGAACCGGTTTGGATGATTATATTTTTATTCGTCTTATTTTTACTCATTTAGTTCTTAATATATCAGTAATTATAGATTCAAATAAATTTTAATAATGATTTTTATATAAATAATCATTAATTTTAGTTATTAAGAAATCATAAATATCAAAATTCTCAATGTGGTTGGATTTTGTTATTGTTATAATCAAACTACTGTTATATTTTTTTATATTTTGTTATTAGTTATTATTAATATTGTTGTATTATTTTATTTTAAATTAAATTAAATTATTCTAATATGACTGTTTTGATTCTAAATTGATTCCAATCTGATTTATTAACTTTTAAACCACTATCTCAACTTTTTTAGTATCCGGTCTTTTTTTTTCCCTTTAAAAAGATTGAAACAGTGAATTTGTATGCTTTTTATTAAATATGAAGTAAATATATAAATATGTAAATAAAGTTTTGTATTTATGCGAAACATGGGTATAGGTGATGTTTCTGGACAGTTTCTTTTGTTTGGGACCAGGGTGATGCGTGTTGGCGAAAGGCAGAAGATGGTTAGTTAAAAGAAATATTAGAAAAATAGGAGAAAAGAAGGAGGCGGAGGGAGAAATGCAGATTCCAGGAAGAAGAGTAGAGCTGTTTCTCGCTGCTTTGGTCTCTGGTCAACTACGGAAGTCCGTCAGATTCCCGGAAGTTTAGTGTAATTCCTTTTCTTTTTTTTTCTAATTTAAGTTTTATAATGTCTTTTTCATAATCACAGTGCCTGACCCTGACCTGACCTACGTTTTGAGCTTGACTCATGCCCGTCATCAGTCTTCAGTCATGGCCTTTTATTTCGTACAAAAAAATTGAAACGCCAGCACCATTTATTCACATGTTGCATATATTTATGAAGCTTCCTTTCCCTCCTAACTCACCCCTTCCAACCTGCAATTGCAAAGAAAAGTCATCATTATTCAACATGATCTCATCCCCTGACTCCCTCACCTTTGAATCATGACGTCCCACATTAATCTCTTTAATTATTTAAATCAACTCTATCATCCCAATCACAGCCTCATGATGCCAGTTCCGTTTATTACTTGTTCGTTCACAACATCATGGATATATCATATATCGTACATATGTGTTTGTGTGTATATCCACCCCTGTTTTGAAAAGAAAACAAACACTGGATAAGTCGATGCCAACAAACATTTACAGAAGCATTTTATCTCTTGTTATTTTGCAATTTCATAACAAGTCTGATGTATTAAAAAAATGTACATTTAATTATGTTCTTAATTTTTCATACAGTTAATAAACAATAAAAAAAATTAAATTCTTAAGAAGAAAATATCCATTTAAATCAGAACACAATAGAGATTGTTAAAAAAGATATAAATGATTGATGCATTTAAATAATCGGCAACTTTGTATTACTATATTTTAATGTTTGTTTTTGTGTTTTCTGCCTTCTTTGAATCACTGGCTTGATTGATTTTTGGTTTGTTGGGGTAATAGGACAAAGGAAGGTAGGAAAAATTGGAGTCAACCTTCTACTCCTCCTGCTTTGCCCAAGGTCCAAAAAGGCTACCATTCCGCCTCCATTGATTAGCAAAGTGACCACTGACCAAAGCTTCTTTTTTTCTGTGTTTTTTTTTTACCTATTTCACTTTTTCGATTTCAGATCCTCCTCCTAATCCATTCCGAAATCATCAAAAGTTGATAAGGTTCTTCATTCTTCGCTACTTAGTGCGTAATCACTGCTTGAGCTGCTTCAACCAAGGTGGGTTTGTCTTCAACTCATCCTGCTAAGTGTTCTCTGTGAGCTGTTGCTTTTCTTTGCTTCCTACCTTTTTTGTTCCCGAGCAAGTTGTTTGCTTGCTACCTAATAATGCGAAAATTGGTTTACTCTTTTGGATTTTGATATCTTGTTTGCTTTCACCTGGAATCCTCAACCAAAGATTTTGGTTTTTGGGGTTGATTTAGTTGATGGGTGCGTGCTGGAGTAATCGGATCAAGGCCGTGAGTCCTTCAAGTACAGGTCTTTTTTCTATCACCATTTCATCCTCTTCTTGACTTGAATCTTCGGCTGTATTTTCTTTCAAAACTTGAATGAGCTTGTATTCCTTTCCAGATTTTGGTTTTCTGGGGTTTGAAACAGTAAACAGGATTGATTGTTACGATCTTAAAAGTTGTTTATCTTCAAGCCTCTATGGAGATATGGGTAGTTTATGTGCATCCTTAAGATCCCTGCAAATTAAAGCTGCTAGGTCTTTACTGATATGAAGATCTGAGCCCGATAGCAATTGTGTCTAGTTTGTTTTCGACCCATTACTTATCCTGCTCTAGACGTCTAACTCAATCTGGTTCTTCCCGCAAGATGTCCCTCTTGAGAAAACTGCGATGAGTTTTAAGAGAATTTCTTGTTAACAACATCAGGATAACTTGCGGTTCTTGCAGTTAAGGCTGAAGATGGTTGATGAATCTTTGTTAACTTTTTCTTTATTGGGATTTATGTAGGATTTATTTCTAGAAGTGTCAGCAGGGATGGCTGTGACACGAGTTCAAACAGCAGGAACTCATCATCCTCCATACCCATAACTCCTCGGAGTGAGGGCGAGATCTTACAGTCTTCCAATTTGAAGAGCTTCAGCTACAGCGAACTTAAAACAGCCACAAGAAATTTTCGCCCGGATAGTATCTTAGGAGAGGGTGGGTTTGGTTCCGTTTTTAAGGGGTGGATTGATGAGCACTCCCTTGTTGCTACCAAGCCAGGGACTGGCATAGTTATTGCTGTGAAGAGACTGAACCAAGATGGTTTCCAGGGTCACAAGGAATGGCTGGTGAGTATAAAATATTTTCTCGATACTCGTTAAAATCGCCCCCATCTAGAGCGTATCTTGGCTTTTTGTTATTGGTATTGGGGTCACATGGTGTCCGAGATTCTAGGCAGTTTGAGAGTCTACAATTTTCGAGGGATTTTCTGCTGGACTTTTATGTTATTTAAAATTTCCTTCGTTCCTCTGATTTTATTGGAATTAGCAGCCAAATCTTATGTGTTAAGTAACACTCTCTGAATGCACTAGACTATGATAAATTGCTGAATGCTGAGAAGTTGGTTTTCTTCTTGTCTGGTAACTCAGGCTGAAATCAACTACCTTGGTCAACTGCGTCATCCTAATCTTGTCAAACTGATAGGATACTGCTTGGAGGATGAGCATCGACTTCTAGCTTATGAATTTATGTCTAGGGGCAGTGTGGAGAATCATCTTTTCAGAAGTCAGTTCCTCTAATGTGGTCACATGGCGAATTTTTATTTCCCTTCAATGAAGACACATTCAATACTTAACTAAATTCTAGTACTTAAGCTGTGAAATCATTCTTTATGTAGGAGGATCTCATGTTCAGCCATTCACTTGGCCTTTGCGAATGAAAATAGCTCTTGGGGCTGCCAAAGGTCTTGCATTTCTCCATAGCACAGAACCTAAAGTCATATACCGTGACTTCAAGACTTCTAATATTCTTCTTGATACGGTATGTATTTGTTCTCAACCACGAACAATTCTTTTATGGCTGAATATGATGGATTTGATATTTAATCACTAAACTCGTCCGTTGCCTTCCACTTTACAGGATTATAATGCCAAACTTTCTGATTTTGGGTTGGCCAGAGATGGGCCAACAGGTGACAAGAGTCACGTCTCAACTAGAGTCATGGGTACTCATGGATATGCAGCCCCGGAATATCTTGCAACAGGTAAAATATCTGCTGTTTGCCCAATCCTGTCCGGACTGCTCTATATGACATGGTTTCCGTGCAACAATCTTCTACATCAACCAATTTACTCTCTGGTCAGAGGGAACTGTACTCTACTATTATGTATATCTCTGTTATTGTCTGTGTTTTGTACTCTTGTGTGTGTGTGTGTGTGGGTTTTTCACATTATTCCAAAGAATTGGCTTTTAAGAATCTTAGATTTACCATAGTGCCTTGAAATGCTACCAAATTCTTCATGCTTTTGCAAAGTACCTATGTTCAAGAATCTCCATTGCCATTTCTCTTGGGATCCCTTCTCACAGCCCCCTGCATCTGCATAAAATGTTTCTGCTTTATCTAGAGTTATGCGCTGTACGTTGTCAATTCACTGGAATTGAACCATACTGAGTCTCCTGTTATTATGTAACAAGGAAAAGATGAATTTTGTTATTTTATTACTGAAAAATGCTGTGTCTTTCTCCCCAGGCCACCTCACTGCCAAGAGTGATGTATATAGTTTTGGTGTGGTTCTCCTGGAAATGTTATCAGGAAGACGAGCCATAGACAAAAACAGGCCAACCGGAGAACATAACCTTGTAGAGTGGGCAAAACCTTATCTATCTAGTAAACGAAGGTCTTTTCGTGTCATCGATGGCCGTCTTGAAGGTCAGTACTCGCTGAGTCGGGCTCAAAGAGCATGCAACCTTGCATATCAGTGTCTTTCTCCGGAACCTAAATTCAGGCCAAACATGGACGAGGTAGTAGGAGCATTGGAGCAGCTTCAGGAATCAAAGGACATGCCAAAAAGTGCTAATAAGAAAGAGCATCAGGTACAACGCGCCAGTGCTAATCATCAACCAAACGGCTTACCTGCTTCTATGACAAATCGTGCCGGAGCTGCACCATCAAATGCTGCCTATCCCAGACCATCTGCTTCTCCCCTTTTTGCTTAAGTCAAGAGTATTTTGGTTATGGCATAAACCATAATTATGTAACCAATGTATAGTCCCTGTTTTCTTCTTTTCCTATTTTGGCATGCGTTAGCAAAATTTTTTTCTCATTTTGCTCCTAATGTCAGACACAGTAGGATCTGATGTGGGTGGACAAGGGGTTGTCAGACGCAGTACGATCTGCTGTGGGTGGACAAGGGGTTAAGTTTGTTGTTGTATCCTTGAAATCCCTGTTTATAGCTGCAACTGAATGATACGGATAATACTTGGCTCCCCAACACCCCAGAACAAGACATTTCAGTACTTTACTCAAAATCCCGCACTCGTTAAATACGTAGTGGGAGGATGGCTCAGGACAGAAGTTTCTTGGTGGCTAATTCGCGTCGGATTAAATAATATCGCTTTAAAGTGATTGATTAGAAGGTGAGAAGATTTTCTGTTGGCGAAAAAAGGTTGATCAAATTATAAGATGTGGAATGACATTTCAAATCACAGGAGAAACTGATATTCGATACAGATATCTCGAGATAAATTGCAGTTTAACATAACATAACTCGAGGGATTTTAAAATAAAACAAATGCTTTCCATTCCATACATGTGTTTTCGTGTAATTGTGCAATGAATCACTTTTTGGCTTTTCTTTTCTTTCTTTCTTCTTTTTTTTTTTTTTTTTGGTTTATCTGAATCCAAGGCCTCTTTACTTTTTTCTTCCCTTCATTTTCCTTTCTTGTCCAAACACAGCACAAATCTCTGAATTCAAACTCATCCCGAACTAACATAGGCTATAAGTGTTGATGTCCTAGAGGGTCGGGATGAGTTTGAATTGAAGCTCAGCAAGCCATTTCTTATAATAGCCCAATAGGCTTTTAATTAATTTAGGTCCAACTTGATCTAATAACTACCATTATTAGAAATCTAGAAATTTGAAAAACGAAATACCGTGAAAATACGGTTTAATCGCTATTCACTCAGTAGTAATTAACTAATTATTGATATGATATTAATTCAAAATTAGATCAATAATAAAAAGAGGGTACGCTTGTTGAAATTATGTGCTTTTTAAAAATAAATAAATATTGTGTAATGCTCATAGACAAAGTTCAAGGGCTGCGACAGAAATCAAAAGAGAAAAAAAAAAAAGTTAGTTATTGATTATAAACCTCTCAATATTTTTTTCCAAGATGACAAATTCCCTTTACCAAAGCCCCGTTCACTCAGATGGAAGCTGAACTTCTCGATCCCTCTTTTAACTGCAAGGACCTTCTTGTAGGCAGCATGATAATGCTTTTCTAACTCCTTGAATTGTCCGTTTGCATATCCACCCAAGCAATTGGAGGATCTCGCTTGGATAGGACATAAGCCGGGGTGATTGACAAAATATGTCTGGAAGGAATGGAAGGACCTTCCTGGCCTGGTTTTTCTCCTCAGCTAGAACACAACAAAGTCATCCACAAACCAAATGTCAAAATCCATATCATTCTAATAAGATATGAAAAACCAATTCCTATCCCAAAGAATCCGACTACAGTAAAGTTTTCAAAATGTCTTGTCTAATTGAGAAAACCTCAACCCACTCTTCTATCTGTACAACCAAATCCCCTTTCTAGACCTCCAATTGTCATTATTAGAATAGTTGTGTATTAAAAGCATCCTTGCCTTCATGTCAAGTATTCAATATCAGGGCTTAATTTAACATTGATGGGACGCAAATGAGGGTGATCTCTCCCAAAATGATGTTTTGTAGGAAGTTTCAACTCAGGATTTTGCCCTTTAAACTTTTTATGGATGTTGAAAACATTTCTTTCTGGATTAATGTGCATTTTTTTGTCCAGAAAATTTCACTCATGAGGGTTGATAAATTTGTCCCTAAATTTTAAAATCGTAATAATATTGTCTTCTATCATTAAAAATACTAACAGCTAATATAATTATTTTAATTTTTAACATTAATTTTTTTAAATTATAAGGGACAATATTATCACGAATTTAAACTTTTATAGCAAATTTGTATCTTAATCTTTTTTTTTTCCTGTCATAACTTACACAATCATCACACCTTCTATTAAGAGTTCCAATTTAGGACTTCACACTTAAAAAAACTTAAGAAAGATGTTTGATGTGAATTTGGCCACAAAATCTTCATTACATTAACTTATTGATTCATGAGTCTTAATTAATTTGTATGGTGAGTCATTAAATTCAGTTGAGAGCTACACAAGTGGAATCTATGGTACAAAAACATATCTTTGTGAGCTGATAAAAATAAAGACATGAAACCATCCAAAGATTGTAGAGAAGTGTAATGTTGACAGATTCTTGCCCCACTAAGTACAAAAGATTACGATCATTGCAAATATTCCTGATGTGCAAACAATTGGCCCCCTTGATTCAAATAAAATTATGTTCCAATGATTCAAAAGTGACTGATTATATATGTACTGGGGATACTTTTACTTTGTCCCCCCAATCAACTTGTGCTGAGTTTCTTTATGTATGAGCCTTCCGAATGAATTTTAACAACTGCCTCTTCTCTTCCTTCTACTCCCCCCCGCCCCCAAAACAGCAAGCAGCCCAGCATATATAAATACAATTTTGTATTTGGTAAACAAACAGGTCTTGCGTAAAAGTAGAAATCGAACAACACATTAAAAGTAGACCCTGACTTCATTTTATTTTTTTTTGTTTTACTCTTTTTTCATTAAAAAAAAAAAACATATAACATGTAGATGTGGAAAATTCCCAATGAGATTGGATGCGCTGTGGGACCATCTTTTGGGAGCACAAAAAGGTTCTGATTTGTGGGGCAAAAGCCATTGAATTTTAGGAAGAATCCACACACACACACACATGCAAGAGGTTTGCCATTCTTTTCCAAAGTGGTTCACTCTTGAGTTATCAAGATTTATGATACGGGTAGTCATGACATTGTGGTCTAACAGTATCAAAATCCCTTTATAAATAGGAGGAGGCGGGTTTGATCTGCTCGGCCATCGTCATGTATCCAATGAGAAAGTTGAAGGATCTTGTTAATTTGTTCTGATATTTGACAGTAAGTTTTGAGGGTTTGTATTGAAGTTGGGGAATTTAGGTGAGATAAGGAAGCAAGAGAGGTGAGTGGTGGTTATGGAATAGACAGGATAGGGAGATAGATATGCATGTGCAAAATGGGTACCACAGAATTGTGCTTTTAATAAATGGAGGATTCATATCAAAGGACAGAATCTTTAGAAGATGTGGTCAACATGGAATTGTGCCGCAACCAACATGCACATGAGATCTACCACAGTGCTGAAACTGAGGGATATGTTTGTGTGTGCCAATGACATTCCAACTTCTTCATCAGCGATCCAATATGCAACTTGTTTCATTCATCTGTCCTGTGCTTAATAAAACTCCTCGTCCTCAGAGCTATGTTTGGATAGAGGGAAATGTATGTGGGGGAGAAAATACAGGAGATGGAATACTAGGAAGGAAAACTTCCAAAAATGATTGAAAAAATTTACCATTTTTGAGAGTTTTTTCTCGTAGGATTCTTTCCTCCTTAATTTTCTCCTCGTCCAAACATAGGGGTCGCTCCTAACATATTCTTGTTAATACGATATTATATGTTGTTGCTATGCTCTGTACTTTCTAGTTTTGGACCACGTAGTACATACCCCACGTACCTTGTTGTGTGTTGAAATTTGGAACTATCTGGAAGGTGTAAAAGAAGAATCAAATACGAGATACAGAAATTTGCTTCGCACCATGCTTCATTCTTAATGCTTTGAGATGGGCCAAGCGATGGTTCTCCAAATGCTTTCAACCAACCAGCATTTATTCACATGTTGCATATATTTATGAAGCTTCCTTTCCTTCCTAAGTCGCCCCTTCTTCCAACCTGCAATTGCAAAGAAAAGTCATCATTATTCGACATGATCTCATCCCCTGACTACCTTACCTTTGAATCATGACGTCCCACATTAATCTCTTTAATTATTTAAACCAACTCTATCATCTCAATCACAGCCTCATGATTTCAGTTCCGTTTATTACATGTTTGTCCACAACATCATTGATATATATATATATATATATATATATATATATATATCCACCCCTCTGTTTTAAAAAGAAAACATATACTCCTCCGGTTATTAATATAAGACCTATTTAACTAATTTAATTAAATTAAGAAAGTTAGGTAAGTTAGTTAATTATAAGAAATATGACACATTTTTTCTAAAATTATAATCATCTTTCTTAATATTCCCTCACTCTTTTCTACTTGGTTATGGTTGAGAGAGTATCCATAAGGGTAATTTAGAGAAAATTGATAAATATAAGAAATAGGTTTTATATTTAAGATCAAAACCAACTCAATAATTAGGTCCTATATTAAGGATCGGAGGAGTATTAGATAAATTGATGCCAACAGTCATACACATAAATCATTTAATCTCTTGTTATTGTGTAATTTCATAACAAGTATGATGTGTAAAAAAAAAATGTACAGTTACTTATGTTCTTAATTTTTCATACAGTTAATGAACAATAAAAATATTTAAATTCTCGGTAAGAAAATATCCATTTAAATCACAACACAATAGAGATTGTTAAAAAGATATAAATCATTGATACATTTAAATAATCAGCAACTTTGTATTACTATATTTTAATGTCAGCTGTTAATTTAGCCAATACTATATAATCATTTGTTTGTTTTGTGTTTTCTTTCTCCTTTGAATCACTGGTTTGACTGATTTTTGGTTTGTTGGAGTAATAGGACAAAAGAAAATGGGAAAAGTTAAGAATCAACCTTCCACTCCTCCTCTGCTTTGCCCAGGGTCCAATAAGGCTACCATTTCGCCTCCATCGATTAGCAAAGCGACCACCGGCCAAAGCTTTTTTTTTGTAAAAAAAAATAAAAAATCTCTCATTGTAAATTTAATTGGCAAATAATATATAGGATGATTAATTATATAAAGAAAGATTACTTTCACATAAAAAAAAGTAAGTTGCACAAAAAGAAGATAATTTGCACAAAATATTATTTAGATATTAGGGATTTGTTTGCACATAAAAAAAATAGCTTGTACATAAAAGAATTTAATTTACACTAAAAAAATTAAATTACACATCATACAAAAGAAAATTATTGCACACAAAAGAAGTGAAGTTGCACTAAGTCCTTAGATCCCATTTTCTAATTAAAATTTGGGATAATTAATCTCTTAGTCCTTATAGTTTCATCTAATTTTTAATCAAGTCCCTATAAAATTTTTTCTTTTTATCAGATCCTTTTACTTTCATGTGTTTTTAATTAGAGCCCTCTATTTTTTTATTAGGTCCTTATAGCTTCACTTATTTTTTAAGTGCTTTGTAGTTTTAAAAAATTATTTATTAACTTTATTCTTTAAAATTAATTTCATTTTTAAATTAATAATTATATAATTGGACAAAATAATTAATATAATTATTTAGTAATTAATAATTAATTATAATAATCAATTATACTTAACTATAAATTATCTATAATTATATTCTAATTTTAGAAAATTTTACTAATATAATTTGAATTTTATAATTATAAAAATTAGAATTGAAAAATAAATAATATATATGTTGAACTAAAAATTTAAAAGAATATTAACATAAGATTATTATAATAATTTATTATTTATAGAATATTATTATTTATAGAATAAAAAAACTATAAGGACCTAATTAAAAATAATGTAAAACAATAATGATCTGATAAAAAGAAAAAAAATTATAAAGACCTAATTAAAAACATGTAAAATTATAAGGACCTGATTAAAAAAAATTGTAGAACTTATATATTAACTATCCCTTAAATTTTTAACAAGAATCAATATATCATATAAATCTCTTCCCCCAAGCCAGTTCCATATCACGGCTCCAAGTTGGCTCCTCTCACAAACTTGCCAAAAATAAAAAATTACATACGGCTTTATCGAAGCTGTCTAAGCTTACAAGGATGCACTAGGCTTCGTGTCTAAGCTAGCAAATATACGTTTTACAGTATGAGAGTTCCTACTTTTTACAGTCTCTCACAGCCTCCCGCCTAATTTTGTATTCATTGAGAATAAAATTTTGGGAAAAAAAAAAACCTTCTGCTCAGTGTTTCTTTTCCATTTTCATGACAGTGTTACAATGGCAAAGGAAAGAAGTCAGAGAGACTAACAAGGAAAAGACAAATAGCATAATAGAGTCACAAATCAAAGAAGACTGCAATCCCATCATCCAGCTGGGTCCCTTACTTTATCTAAGTATTGAAATTTTTTCTTTTGATTCCAATCTTTGTCACTTATTCAAATTTGAAATTCAAATTTTCAAATGTTGTCTTGTCCCTCCCAAGTTTGAGAAATACCAATTGACTTTGTTTACATGGGCGTGTCCTCTTTCTTCTCTATTCCATTCTCCTCTTTGTCTAGTGCGTCGTCGTGTGAGTGTCACTTGGTTCTGCCTTATCCTTTGTAGTTGTTGCTGAATATTCCCGTATCATCTCTAGTTCTAGTGACATTGTGGGGTTGTGATCTTTGATGCTCGGCCCTTGCTTCGATCGCTCAGTCCCCCTCCTCTTTGAAGAGATGAGAGCCAACAGGGACAAGTGTGTGGGAAGCAATAATCAGCTGGGGATTTACATCAATGATTGGGAGAAGCAAAGAGATGGATGATGTTACTATTGTTATCCCAAGGTTTGGCGGGTGCACGTCTCCTTGCTTGAAATCCTCCTTCAAATTCTTCCCGTTCGTTTCTTCGATGAGAATAACGACCATGGTGGATCTCAGGTACAAACCCCTTTGTTCTTCACTTAGCAGTTTTTCCATTTGGATTTTTGAATTTTCTTTATATACATTTCATAAATATACTTCTATTATTTTTATAAAAATATTTGAATATTTGAAAGGACTTACAAATGACCTTTGAGTCATAATCTACTCTTCATTTGTCAGTGATGATTCTCAGTTAAGGGGAAGTGTCCAGTTCTTCGTATGTGCGATGGCAAGAACTAGGCCTATTTGCTTCTTTAGATGTGACTACGCACATTACCAATGGCAGCCAAACGTTAAATTTGACATGCTGGTGGCTGAAATGTTTTGTAATAGATACAGGTTATTCAAAATCACTTGTCTATCCTGATTATGTTTGAAGTAATTATATATATATATATGAATCATTTGTAGTTCTTAACCAGTTATTGATTCTAATGGATTTCCTTTGCCTTCACTGTTAACATTTTGTATAATAATTTGATTGACTCATTGTGCTAGCAATCTTCTAAAAAAAATTTGAAACTTTAATGGAGAATTTCTAACAATAGTGTATAATTTTGAAGCGCATTTTACTGCATAGAGGAGGGAGAGGGAGACAGCAACAACTAATCTTGGGTTCAAAAGGCCATTGACCAAGGAAGAAGAAATAATGAAAAAGGAGACTTTTTTGGCCTAGGACTCGCAGAAGCTACTTTTTTATTTTTTTAGACAAGAATTTATTTTGGTTAACAAAGGTATTTGGCCCTGCTGTGAAAAAATTCTATCGCTTAGCGGTAGCAGAAAAATTTTCCTTTCTTTACAATCCTTCAATAAGCCAAGGCGTTGTAATTTTGGATGAAAATAACATTGTTAGGAGGAATTGAAAAATGAAAAAAGCACCTGCAACATGATAAAAAAAAAAGCCAGAACATGCACTAATTTAGATTATATTGTTATATATGTGATTGTGTTGTCTTTGTTTTTGATGATTTTATATATATCTAGGTGTGAAAAGGCAGAAGAGACCTTTGAATCATCTCAAAAAGCCTTCAAATTTTCTTCGTGATTTGGCGTGGAAAGTGATCAAAGTTTCTACAAGAAGTTACAAGAAATTGCATCGATAGTGCAGTAATGTAATTACCCTGGCCCATTTAGATTTATAACCATAAGAATTACATATTTTTCTTTTCAATTGAAGGCAATACCTTCAGTTTTTTCACTTTGATTTCAAATTTATTTATTTCAAATAGATATATTTCCTCACATTGATGTTTATGTCTCTGTTATAATTAGTTTTTTAATTCTTAGTTGCACTTTGGCATGTTTTCTAATGTTCATATTGAAAGTTGTTATATGAGATTTTGTACTCTTTTGGAGGCTAACATGCGATTTGATCTTGCCTCTAATTGTGAGTTTTGACATAAGGGGTGAGTGAACTAATAGTGATTGTGTATTATGTGCTAGGTGAAAGAGTAACCATTGGATTTAGAGTTTTCAAGAAAGAAAATTGCAAGTTTCACTTGGTTATAAAAAACGTGCTTCATTTTATTGGATTTAAATAATGGGAAGAAAAGTTCTCTATTTGTATTTTTTTAAAAAAATTCTCTATTTGAAATGAGTCATGAATAAAGAAACATATTTCTAAACTCGTACCTATAACTATGCATTCTAATTGTGCTTTCAAAGTGAAAAGGCAAAAATATTATGAACTAATAATAACAGTTGAAATTGGAGAAAAGTGGGCAAAAATAAACTTTGGTGTTTGTTTGTGTGATTAAGAATCATTATTAAGATTTATAACTTCATTCTGTAGTTATTGAAGTTAGACTATTATGATCCATAGTGAATAGTTGGGCGTTGTAGCATGAAAGCTAGGAAGATTATTGAGTGAAAAAAAAAAAAACTTAGAGCATGTATAAGATTTGATTCAATACAAATTTGTTATTTATTTCTCCCAAGCTGTTTACTTTTCCAGGTCATGTATTGTCACTTAATAGTTTCTAAAAAGTGGCTTCTCTTTATTTTCTTTCCTTTTTTTTTTTCGATAATAAGAAGGCAAGCAGAGCTTTAGAGTTGAATAAAGAAGGGAGAGGAATCTAATTTCAAGTTATAGGAAATAGATAAGGCCTAAAAGAAAAAAGTAGTTTTTTTATGTAGTATTAAATTAAAGATTGCAGCTTTGCAAGGGAAAAAAAAAGCAATAGTTCGGATGAAAGGAAAGAGTGATAATTTTGGTCATTCATACCTCACAATTTCCTAATATAAGAGCCTAAAACTGGGAAAATATATCATATATAAATGAAAAGAAAGCAGAAGAAAAATGCATTTGACCTGTATTTATTAATGAGAGAGGGATTATTTGAAGGAAAATTTTTGTTGGCAACAATTCTTTCACAAGTATTTAGAAGGAAAGAGATTTGGTTAGGTTTGTTCTGCCTATGGTTCTCAATTTTGTATTCATGTTATTATGCTTTTTTCTATTCAATAATTTAATAAACCCTCTTTATTTATCACTTTTGTCCCACAATAATAGTTAGGATGTGGTTTCTATATATCAAGTCAAATTCTGGTTTAAAAAAAAGCCAATTTATCAGAACATTTCAAATCATTGACGGATAGGAAAATGAATTGTTGTCTCATGTGATATGAAATTTACTTAGAACACTTAAGCAGTACAACGAGAGAGAGAAAAAAGTTTGGGCACTAAAAATATGAACTCCAAACTTATATGCCGCCCGTGCAACGCACGGTAAATACATGCTAGTTCATCTCTCATCCTCCCACCCCCCAGCTGTTTTACTTTTTCGATTTCAGATCCTCCTCCTGTTTTACTTTGCCGAAATCATCGAAAGTTGAAAAAGTTCTTCGTTCTTCGCTACTTAGTGCGTAATCGCTACCTAGTGCGTAATCACTACTTGTGCTGCTTCAACCACGGTGGGTTTGTCTTCAACTCCTCCTGCTGAGTGTTCTCTGTTGAGCTGTTGCTTTTCTTTGCGTCCTACCTTTTTTTGTTTTTTCGAGCAAGTTGTTTGCTTGCTACCTAATAATGCGAAAATTGGCCTACTCTTTTGGATTTTGATATCTTGTTTGCTTTCCCCTGGAATCCTCAACCAAAGATTTTGGTTTTTGGGGTTGATTTAGTTGATGGGTGTGAACTGGAGCAATCGGATCGAGGCCGTGAGTCCTTCACGTACAGGTCTTTTTTCTATCACCATTTCAGACTTTTCTTGACTTGAATCTTCGGCTGTATTTTCTTTTCAAAACTTGAATGAGCTTGTATTTCATTCCAGATTTTGGTTTTCTGTGGTTTGAAACATTAAATAGTATTGATTGTTACGATCTTAAAAATTGTTTATCTACAAGCCTCTATGGGGATATGGGAAGTTTATATGCATGCTTGAGATCCCTGCAAATTAAAGCTGCTAAGTCTTTACTGATGTGAAGATCTGAGCTCGATGGCAATTGTGTGTAGTTTGTTCGACTCATTACTTATCCTGCTCTAGACGGCTAATTCAATCTGGTTCTTCCAGCAAGATGTCCCTCTTGAGAAAACTGCGATGAGTTTTAAGAGAACTTCTTGTCAACAACATAAGGATAACTTGCGGTTCTTTCAGTTAAGGCTGAAGATGGTTGATGAATCTTTGTTAACTTTTTCTTTATTGGGATCTATGTAGGATTTATTTCTAGAAGTGTCAGCAGGGATGGCTGTGACACGAGCTCAAACAGCAGGAACCCATCATCCTCCATGCCCATAACCCCTCGGAGTGAGGGCGAGATCTTACAGTCTTCCAATTTGAAGAGCTTCAGCTACAGTGAACTTAAAACAGCCACAAGAAATTTTCGCCCGGACAGTATCTTAGGAGAGGGCGGGTTTGGTTTAGTTTTTAAGGGGCGGATTGATGAGCACTCCCTTGCTGCTACCAAGCCAGGGACTGGCATAGTTATTGCTGTGAAGAGACTGAACCAAGATGGTTTACAGGGTCACAAGGAATGGCTGGTGAGTATAAAATATTTTCTCGATAATCGCCCCCAGCTAGAGCGTATCCTGGCTTTTTGTTATTGGTATTGCGGTCACATGGTGTCCGAGACTCTAGGCAGTTTCAGAGTCTACAATTTTCAAGGGATTTTCTGATGGACTTTTATGTTATTTAAAATTTCCTCCGTTCCTCTGGTTTTATTGGAATTAGCAGCCAAATCTTGTGTGTTAAGTAACACTCTCTGAATGCACAAGATTGTGATTAATTGCTGAATGCTGAGAAGTTGGATTTCTTCTTGTCTGGTAACTCAGGCTGAAATCAACTACCTTGGTCAACTGCGTCATCCTAATCTTGTCGAACTGATAGGATACTGCTTGGAAGATGAGCATCGACTTCTAGCTTATGAATTTATGTCTGGGAGCAGTGTGGAGAATCATCTTTTCAGAAGTCAGTTCCTCTAATGTGGTCAAATGGCGAATTTTTATTTCCCTTTAATGAGGCACATTCAAAACTTAACTAAATTCTAGTACTTAAGCTGTGAAATCATTCTTTATGTAGGAGGATCTCATTTGCCGCCACTGTCCTGGTCTTTGCGAATGAAAATAGCTCTTGGGGCTGCCAAGGGTCTTGCATTTCTCCATGGCACAGAACCTAAAGTCATATACCGTGACTTCAAGACTTCTAATATTCTTCTTGATAAAGTATGTATTTGTTTTCAACCGCGAACAATTCTTTCATGGCTGAATGTGATGGATTTGATATTTAATCACTAAACTCTCCGTTGCCTTTTCACTTTACAGGATTATAATGCCAAACTTTCTGACTTTGGGTTGGCCAGAGATGGGCCAACAGGTGACAAGAGTCACGTCACAACTAGAGTCATGGGTACTTATGGATATGCAGCGCCAGAATATCTTGAAACAGGTAAAATATCTGCTGTTTGTCCAATCCTGTCCGGACTACTCTATATGACATGGTTTCCGTGCAACAATCTTCTACATCAATCAATTTACTCTCTGGTCAGAAGGAACTGTACTTTACTATTACGTATATCTCTGTTATTGTCTGTGTTTTGTACTCTTTGTTTTTTGTTTTTTTTTTGGGGGTAGATTTTTCACTTTATTCCAAAGAATTGGCTTTTAAGAATCTTACGTTTACCATAGTGCCTCGAAATGCTGCCAAATTCTTCATGCTTTTGCAAAGTACCTATGGTCACGAATGTCCATTGCCATTTATCTTGGGATCCTTTCTCACAGTCCCTTCCATCTGCATAAAATGTTTCTGCTTTGTACCTTATCTAGAGTTATGTGCTGTACGTTGTCAATTCACTGGAATTGAACTATACTGAGTCTCCTGTTATTATGTAACAAGGAAAAGATGAATTTTTTATCTTATTACTAAAATTTTTTTGTATCTTTCTCCCCAGGTCACCTTACTGCCAAGTGTGATGTATATGGTTTTGGTGTAGTTCTCCTGGAAATGTTATCCGGAAGACGGGCCATAGACAACAACCTGCCATCCGGAGAGCGTGAACTTGTGAAGTGGGCAAGACCTCATCTATATAATAAACGACGGTGTTTTCGTGTCATCGATGCCCGTCTTGAAGGTCAGTACTCGCCGAGGGGAGCTAAAAGAGCAGTAACCCTTGCAGGTCAGTGTCTTCTTGCGCAACCTAAATTCAGGCCAGACATGGACGAGGTAGTAAGGGCATTGGAGCAGCTTCAGGATTCAGAGGACATGGCAAAAAGTGCTAATGAGGAAGAAAGTGCATCAGGTGCAACGCACCAGTGCTAGTTATCAACCAAGGGCTTACCTGCAGCTATGAAAAATCATGCGGGAGCTGCACCATCCAATGCTCTACTTGAACCTTTTTAGTCGTCTTGGTTTAAATAAAAGATAAACCAAATTGTATAGTAAAACACAATTCGGGTTGTGTGTCTTGAGAAACTTTTTATTAATTTCTAAGATAACTAAGTGAAAAAAAAGAATTAGAAAGTCAGGGCTTGAAAAAGGTGTATTTTTAATAAAACTGATTATGAAAATGAAGAAATAAATCTAAACTATTTTTGTTCGGTATTTTTAACAAGAAAGGGAGAGTGAAAAAATGCAAATTTGGATTTTAAAAGATCAATGATGAGAATGTTTCTTGAAAGCAGAATGTAATTATCTTTGTTTAATGAAAATAAGTGAGTAAAATAATGCATCAAGTTAAAAAGCAATCCTAAATACGGTTTGGATCAAATAAACTTAACACTTGACTATTCTAAATGCTAGATAGTAATCAAACTATTAAGCTACTTTTAAAAATCACTTGACGTGCAATTTAAATTGAATTAATAAAACTTGTTTTCCTTACAAAAAATACTTACAGAGATACTCAATTACAATATGTCTCAATCATAAAATCTAACAACATGCCAAATAAAATAATTTTAAATAATGCAAAGGAATTATATATAAATTTAAATCCCAAGTAATATTGCTCAAATTAAACTGCAGAATTCTAATTAACAGAAATTATAATGCATAATTTCAGTCTCTAAATCAAACAGGAATATTCTTAACACAGGAAAAATCTAATGAAATCCAAAAGAAAATTAATTGGAAAACTAAATACTCTCCTAGTTGAAGCTCCAAGTGTAAGCAACTGCTCCATCTCTAAAAAAACACAAAGGGATTAGCCTCTCATAGCTCTAGAAGTATTCACAGCAAGTTTGAAGTAGTAAGAATCCATGGAGGCTTTGTGAAAGAGTGGGTACGGAGATTAGTTGCAGGAAAAATAAAGAACAATGGAGTAATTTGCGTTGCCGGCGCTGGAGGCAGAGAAGGGTTGGGATTTGTTACTGGCCGAAGGAAAAGAGATGAGGAGTGGCGGTCCGAAGTTGAATTGGTGTTGGCGGCGCCGTCTTGCGGTGGCATCCTTTCAGCTTTCTTATTATCTTTATTTTTTTTTTTAAATCTGCAAAAGATAAATTGAAATATTATCATAAAGACCAAATCAATTATTTAAAAAGAGATAAAAATATGATAAGATTTTTTAAAATTTTTTAATTTTATGCAATCAGTATTTAATTTAAAATATCCACAATTAATACAAATTATCCCACTTTAATTAATAAATATCACTAAAAAGATATCAAATAACATATTAAAATAGAGATTTATCAACCACTACGATCAAGCTGGATCGTGGCGACTATCTTGTTTGGGAATCAATGGTGCTACCATTGATAGAAGGAAACCAACTGGAGGCTCATGTTGATGGTACTAGAGCTGCACCTCCCCGTCTTGTTCTGGACACCACTGCCACAAATGGTGCTTCCATAAACCCAGAATATGAAGAATGGTTCTCTGTTCATCGGATGCTTGTGGGTTGGCTCCGTAATACTATGTCACTAGGGTGGAAATAGACCAGACGGCCTGTTAGGAGCTTATGGCCTGGCCTGTATTTGGCCTGGCCTGTATTTGGCCTGACCTGACCTAGCCTGTTTTTTAAAAGAGACAGGCTCAGGCCTGTTTGAAGGTTTGTTTAGCTAAACAGGTCAGGTTTAGGCTTTCTATTAAACTTGTTAAGCCGGCCTAGGCCTATTAAAAATTTATAATTATAGTACATGAAAAAATTAGTTAATAGTATTATTGTTAATGTGCTCTTTTAATTTATTTTTTAATTTTAATATATAGTTAATAGCTTAATCTTTTTTTAGATTTTGAAGTTTAGTTAAGAAGTGAAGATAAAAATATAATTTAAAATAATAATATCAATAAATAATGTGATCTTTAAATCTTAAAAATATAAATAAAATAGGAAAGAAAAATTTTGTTCTAAGAATGATAAATTAATTCACTTATGTATTATGTTAATTAAAGTATGATACCCTCTTTATTCGTTATAAAATTAGTATTTTTTTCTCTTTATTTATTTGTCTTAATTTTTTTTTTTGTATACTTAAACGTAGTCTTGTTTTAAATTTTAACATATAATTACAACTAGTTTTCAATAATATCCTTGTAAATTATAATTAAGATTTAAAATAGTACTTATGATAGTAGAATTTAAATAAAAGACAAGACTAAAAAATTAATTATTATGTACACTTTTTTTTCAATCTTAGTTTTTTTAAAAAATAATTTTAATTTGAATTTTTTAAAAATGCAGGCTTTTTGACAGGCTTTAGGCCAGCTCAGACTGAAAAATAAGCCTGTAACAAGCCACAAACCAGGTTCAGGCAATAAGCTCCAAAAGACCTGTTTCCACCCCTACATGTCACAAGTTAGAGCTCAGCTGGTACATTGCAAGAATGCAAGGGATCTCTGGATTGGTGCTAGAGAGCTAACCTGTGCGTCCACCAAATTCAAGGCAAAACTACATCATACTCGAAAGAACTCCATGAAATCTCAGCAAGATGAAAAATGTTGCAGATCAGCTAATCTTAGCAGGTGCCCCTGTTCCCACTGAAGAACTCATTATGTACACTCTGAATGGTCTTGACTCGAAGTACAATGCCACTGTTATGAAGCGGATTGATCAACCCAATCTCACTTGGGTTGGGGCACAATCGGCCTTGTTGGCATTTGAAAGTCGCTTGGAGCAATTGAATCATTTCTCCTCCTTAACTACTCATCCTTCGGCCAACTTTGCTCAAAAAGATTCTGCTTCTGCTCAAAACACTCGTTTTTCTAAACCACCTCGTCGCCAATATGACTCTGACCGCGTATATGGTGGCTAGAGAGAAAATTGCGGCTCACACAACCAGAGGTCTCGTGGACGTTGTGGCAACTACAGCAATGATGGTAGCTATGGTGGTGGAAATCATAGTGGAGATGGTCGTCCCTACTATCATTTCTGTGATAGGTTTGGTCATGTTATTGCCCAATTTATCAGAGGAATGATTGTTCCTTTCAATCTCCGTCTGAGTATGGTCGATATTTTGGTGGCTACAACCCTCAAGCATTTTATGCAACTCCATAAACTATGAACGACCCATCCTGGTATATGGACAGTGGCTCAAACTTCCCCGTGGCTCTTTACTCTGAGCAGCTTGATCAGGTCAATCCAGTGGGTAAGTCTTATTTATCGACTTGTACTGGTGAGAAAGCTCCCATAAAGGGAGTTGGTTCAAAATCTCTTTCATGCCTTGATTCTAAGTTATATCTTAGAGATGTCTTGCTTGTTCCTACAGCTACTAAGAACCTATTAAGTGTTAACAAACTTGTTGAGGATAATCCAGTCGATGTGAAATTTACTAATGTTGGTTGCACTGTGAAGGATCTGGTGACAGGAAAATTGTTGATGTAAGGGAAGCCAAACCAAGGGATGTACCCAATGGGCAGTGATCAAGATCAACCACAAGCCAATACAGCATTGTTTAACTCTGTTGCTTCAACTGATGAGTTTTTGAAATGGCATTACAAGTTAGGACACCCAAATAATAGAGTTTTGAGATAAATTTTTGAATAGTTGTAATGAAAAAGTTGAAATCAATGAGAATTTTGTTTGTGAAACTTGTCAGTTAGGTAAATCAAAATTATTATCGTTTCCTTCTTCAATGTCTCAGGCTACTTGTCCCCTTGAACTCATTCATACTGAAATTTGGGGTCCATCTGTTACAATCTATTGGTGGTCATCGTTTTTACATACATTTTGTTAATGATTTTAGCAGATATGCTTGGCTATTTCCCTTGAGACATAAGAATGAAGCTATCAATGCTTTTAATATCTTCAGGAAGCAAGTTGAAAATTAGTTTAATGCAAAGATTAAGACTATGCAATGTGATAATGGAACTGAGTACAGGCCTTTTATTCCTGTAACTCAAGAAGCTAGAATCACAATGAAATACACTTGTCCATATACTTCAGAGCAAAACGGAAGAGCTGAACAAAAACATAGGCATATTGTCGAAATGGGATTAACTCTCTTAGCTCAAGCTCATATGCCATTAACTTATTGGGTTGATGCTTTTCAAGTTGCAGTACATTTAATTAACAGATTATCAACTCTAGTATTGAAAGGATCAACTCCTTTGTTTCTCTTACTCAAGACAGAGCCTAATTATAAAACCATTCAACCTTTTGGGTGTGCTTGTTATCCATGTCTCAAGCCATATAATGATCACAAATTTCAATTCCATAGCCAGAAGTGTGTCTATCTTGGCCCTGCTTCACAACACAAAGGATACAAGTGTCTCAGCAATACTGGTTGAATTTATGTCTCTAGACATGTTATTTTTTACTCATCTGTATTTCCTTTTGTGACAGGTTTTCTTAATCTTCAGACCACTCCTGTACAAAATGATGATTATATTATTCCTTTGGTGATTCAAAATAATCTAACAGGTATCACAACAAATGAGAGCGATGATTCTGCTAGATTGTTGCCTCCATTATTGCCCTCAGTACCTCTGGAAAATTGAGACTCTACTCCACCTGGGCGGACACTTGATACTCAATCGGAGTCATCAATTTCAGAATCAAGCCATCAATCTCATGTTTATGGGTCTAATCAAGCTGATAAATCAAGCCCAGTTGTAGAGCCCGAGCCTAATATGGCTTCTATTAATCAGCATCATATGGTTACCAGATAAAAGGCAGGCAAAACTAAGCCCAAATATCATTTTTATTGGGCGTATAAAAGCTAAAGACCCATTATCTCTTGCCAAAGCAACCGAACCCAGAAGCGTCTCTGAAGCCTTGCCAATCCCTCATTGGCAGCAAGCCATGAAAGATGAATTCGACGCTCTTCAGCGGAACCACACTTGGATTCTCGTTCCATATCATCACCCCCAAAAGCTTGTTGTCAAAATGAAGTTTGGAGCTGATGGTTTGATTTCTAAGCATAAAGCAAGATTAGTAGCAAAAAGTTTTCAACAATCTCCATGGATCAACTATGGGGAAATGTTTAGTCCTGTAATTAAGCCAACGACAATCAGCATTGTACTTACGATTGCTGCAACTTTCAATTGGGACGTGAGGCAACTAGATGTTAACAATGCCTTCTTAAACGGCTATCTTCAAGAAAATGGGTTTATGCATCAGCCTGAAGGTTTTAGAGATTCCAGTAAACCCAACCATGTTTGCAGACTTGTTAAAGCAATTTATCGCCTAAAGCAAGCGTCCCGAGCATGGTTCGATCGACTGAGGATGACCCTGCTCTAATGGGGTTTTTAGAATTCAAGGAGTGATATATCCCTTTTCTATCTTCGGACAGCAAATCTCACTATATTTATTCTGATCTATGTGGATGACATACTTGTTATAGGGAATAATTCAATCTATGTGAATAAATTTATACAAAGACTGAATGAACTGTTTGCCTTGAAAGATCTTGGTCCCTCATACTATTTTCTTGGCATTAAGATTTCCCGTGATGCCGCTGGATTCTATTTGAATCAAGGAAAATACACTCGGGAGTTGTTGAAGAAACTTAATATGTTAGTTTGTGCCCCTATACCTACACCTATGGTGACTGGTAGACAATTTACATCTTTGGATGGTGAACTAATGAAAGATCCAACACTGCATAGACAAGCAATAGGTTCTCTTCAATATCTGACCTCCACATGTCCGGACATAGCTTTTTCAGTCAATAAGCTTAGTCAATTTCTCTCTTGTCCAACCAATGTTCATTTTCAAGGGGTTAAAAGGATACTTAAGTATCTTAAAGGAACATTCAATCTTGGGCTGCACATAAAGCCCTTTCACTCCTTGAGACTTGATATGTTTACAGATGCAGATTAGGCTACTGATTTAGATGATAGAAAGTCGATGGCTGGATATTGTGTTTACTTTGGGAAGTCCTTGTTTCCTGGGCATCACGTAAACAGAAAGTAGTGTCAAGGTCTAGTGCTGAATCAGAGTATAGAGCTCTGGCTGATGGTGCTGCAAAAATCAAATGGCTATATTCACTGCTATCTGAACTCGGTCTAATGCTTAGTCAACCTTCAATCATTTGGTGTGATAATGTTAAGTACAGGAGCATTGGCAGCAAATCCTGTTCAACACTCCAGAAGCAAGCATATTGAAATTGACTTACATTTCATTCATGACTTTGTTTTATCAAAGTTTATTGATGTGAAATATGTCCCTTCATCGTATCAAGTTGCACATTGTCTTCTGAAGGCTCTGTCTCATTCTCAGTTCTCTTATTCCCGAAGCACACTCAGATTGTGTATAACACCCTCTCGTTTGAGGGGGAATGTTAGAGAAAAATAGAAATTAGGATATCTGTATATTTGTTTTGTAATAGGGGTTAAGGATGAGTAATGACCGTCCACGTGTAAGGTTGATTTTCATTCTTTCGGTCTGCTGCAAATTAGGGCAAGACCACATCTCCTTGTATAGTGATTATATAATGGAGACAAGGCATGAGGATCATTTGTCTCGGCCAATACTTTTTCATATTTTATTTGCCTTTCCTTCTCTTATCCCAGACCATCTGCTTCTCCCCTTTTTGTTTAAGTCAAAGTATTTTAGTTATGGCATAAACCATAATTATGTAACCAATGTATAGTTCCCGTTTTCTTCTTTTTCTATTTTGGCATGCGTTAGCAAAAAAGGTTTTCTCATTTTGCTCCTAATGTCAGACACAGTACGATCTGATGTGGGAGACATCCCAGTATTTTACTCTAAACCCCGCATTTGTTAACTACGTAGTGGTAGGATGGCACAGACAGAAGTTTCTTGGTAGCTAATTTGCGTCGGATTAAATAATATAGCTTTAAGGTGATTAATTAGAAGTTAAGAAGGTTTTGTATTGGCGAAAAAAGGTCGAGCAAATTATAAGATGTGGAATGACACATTTCAAGTCACAGGAGAAATTGATATTCGATACAGATATCCCGAGATAAATTGCAATCTCATTTAATATAACTGGAGGGATTTTACAATAAAACAAATGCTTTCTATTCCATATATATGTTTAATTTGCTGTTTTGTCTTTTTCGTTTATCTTAATCCAAGGAAAGAAAATATTTTCTCTTTACTTTTTCCCTTCCCTTCATTTTCCTTTCTTTTTTTTTTTTGGTTGCCCACCCAATTCACCGGAGCTTTACTCCGACTATATTTGGATCCGACCCGCATCGCGTACCTGGCTGTAGTGGGTGAGTCTCCCAACAGGGATTTCTTCATTTTCCTTTCTTGTGCAACCCAAAGCGCAAATCTCTGAATTCAAACTTATCCTGAACTAACATAGGCTATAGCAGGCTGATGTCTTAGAGGTTCGGCCTGATTTTATCTTGAAGCTCAACAGGCGATTTCTTATAATAGCCCAATAGGCTTTTAATCAATTTAGGTCCAATTTGATCTAATAAGGCTTGCCATCAAAACCCAAAAGTTAAGTTTGGGTTTGGCCATAACTACAATTGCTTAAATTTAGAAATTTGAAAAATGAAAATACTGCAAAAATACGATCTTTGGTTTAATCGCTATTCACTTAGTAGTAATTATTGATATGATATTAATTCAAAATTAGATCAATAATAAAAAGAGGGTAAGCTTGTTGAAATTATGTGCTTTTTTAAAAAATAAATATCGGGTAATGCTCATAGACAAATTTCAAGGGCTGCGACTTTAACGATTAAAGTATGATATTCAATATCGGGTAATGCTCATGATTAAAGTATGATATTCAATATCAAGGATTAATTTAACATTGATGGGACGCAAATGAGGGCTATCTCTCACAAAATGATGTTTTGTAGGAAGTTTCAACTCAGGATTTTGCCCTTTAACCATTTTATGGATGTTGAAGACATTTCTTTTTGGATCAATGTGCATTTTTTTGTCCAGAAATTTTTATTCATGAGTGTTGATGCAAATTTGCCCCTGAATTTTAAAATCGCAATAATATTGTCTTCTATCATTAAAAATACTAACAACTAATATAATTATTTTAATTTTTAACATTAATTTTTTTAAAATTATAAGGGACAATATTATCACGAATTTAAACTTTTATAGCAAATTTGTATGTTAATCTATTTTTTTTTTCCTGTCATAACTTACACAATCATCACGCCTCCTATTATTAAGAGTTCGAATTCAGGACTTCACACTTAAAAAAACTTAAGAAAGATGTTTGATGTGAATCTGGCTACAAAATCTTCATTAGATTGACTTATTGATTCATGAGTCATAATTAATTTGTAGGTGAAACAACCTTCCTAAATAAACCGAAAAACTTAACCTTTTTTTATATAGTAACTTTGAGAAATAGTTTTTTATAACGAAATCATGCTAAATACGAACCCAAATTATATCACAGTCATCTACACTAACTAACTATATCATAATGTTATCCGTGATAGAAAAGAACAACACCCAATCATACATTCTATCACTGATAAAAGAACTTTTCTTAACTCATTCAAATACAACCTATGTAAGAAATGATCAATCTCATCTAATATGGTTACAAAACAACATATAATATAGCTCATAGATCGAAATATTAAGAATTAAATGAGAAATTCATATTTTATAATAAATTTATAAACAAATCACATGTGATTCTAGGCCTTTGGCCAACTACTAGCACGTATATCACAACAGTACAACTCAAAGGATATAACACATCATAATGCATGAATCATATAACACATCATATCATAATGCATGAATCATAATCCTAAGGTGGTAATATACAGGATACAGCATAGCTCATAAATCAAGGAAATGCTACAAGATGCTAATGTAGCTTTACTCCTCCTAAGCCTTCCCTGACGTCTCTCCTTTAAAGTTTTCACCTGAAAAATGTTAAATAATAGGGATGAGACAACGTCTCAGTAACTAAATCCCTACCTATCACACACACTAACATGGGCTAGCGAGGTGTCAGGTGGGATACACAGAGTTAATAATAGTTGATAGACACTTATCTAACAGTTGAACTCACAATAACTATATAGGTCAAATATATTTGCCAATCTCATGCAAATTATAATTTCAAAAGAGATAACATACTTTTCATTTATTCAAAAGATATAAATATCAATGAAGATTCCATGTTATATGCAGTCCATGAACCCTAAATTTATCCTTATATCCTCATTATTTTCGCCGACTGGACCCATGGGCTAAGTTCTTTCCATTTGACTGGTTACTCTAACAAGCTCACCACTCGAGTGATATGGACCGGCCAAAGACCACAGAGCACTCAGTGGACCATGGGTCCCCTCTCGAAGAACTAGTGGGGTGTCGCAATCCATCGAAAAACTAGTGGGACAATAATAGTAGCCTGCCATAGAGCTCCATATGGACGCCGAAACCACGTGGTAAGTATATAAATCTCAATAACTCCAATCATCTCCTTCCCCACCCAAACTAGATGCACAGGATTCAAAATAACACATTTATTATGCATAATCAACCGAATTCCAGAGTAACACCGCATAGTCATAATCATTAATTTCTAACAATACAAACGATTTCAATCCTTTTCAAAACAGTATCCCACAAGACAGTTCATACAAAATATTATATATATATATATACACACGAAACTTGGTTATAAAATCACTAACCAACCTCATACCAATGCATGTAACAAATAGAAATTTAGTTACATGGTCTCCTAGCTAACAATCAAGCACAAACGAGGCCCGTACTCGAAAATGTCACAATAGGGTTTATATCTACAATTGAAATTAAAACATTATTTCTACAGTATTAGAGTAAACTACTCACAAATTTCTAACATTTAACGCTCCCTCTAATACATTCAGCTGTTACTCGAAAGGCTTTTTCTAAGGTTTGGGGTAAGAACATATATATGATGATTTATATTCAATTCCTAGGCTCCCTTAACTTATGTTATCTTTAGTTATTAAATTATATCATTTGAAGCACCAAATTCACAACCTAGATAAAGAACCCTCAATTTATAACTTATGTTCTATCTTTAAAGAATTTAGATGGATAACCTCAATATGAGTTAATTTATTCTTATTGTAGAAGTCTAATTATTAATCCAACCGTTGAATTTAATTTCTTACATGTCACAAGACTACTCGCTAAATTTCGGGTTAATCCAACGGTGAACAAATTTTAAAACATTAACTTACTATCTAGTATTCTATCTACCAAATCTAAAAAAATAAATGAAAAATGTACCTAATAACTTGTAACTCAAATATTGAATTGACGATCCAACCATTGAAACTAACGAGTTTGAAGTCTAGGATCATCTGATCAAATTGCAGCTTAATCCAACGGTTTACAGACCCGTAAACAGCACTTTACTGAGACTATCTCAGTTTCGTGCGAAAATTATTTGGTTCATCTTTAACTCTCCCCTACTACCACCTATATATAGACTCCTAGAGCTTTCTCTTCCCATCATTTAGTCGATGTGGGACTTCTTAACATTACTATTTTATCCATCTTCGTATCATTTAATCAATGTAGGACTTCTTAACATCGCTATTTTATTCATTTTCTCATACACACACAAAATCAGAATTATTTTAATTATATATATGTATATTTAACCTCTACCTATTCTATAAAAATTTGTTTCAATATTAGATATATGAAAATTAGGATGTTACAGTAGGCGAAAGTATACTTTTACTTTTTTAACTTTACACAAAGTTTCATTTTGATCCTTTAACTTTAAAAAGTAAATTTTTAGTCCTCTAACCCTAAAACTATTAACAAAAAATGATGATATTAAGCTCTTAAATGCTAATAAAACATTACTAAATGTTAACATATTAAGTTTAACAAACAACCATAATTGTTACAAAAAATCATCATTTAAGACTAACAATTTTAGGGTTAAAGGATTAAAAATATATTTTTTTAAAGTTAACGGACCAAAGTGAAACCTTAAATAAAGTTAAAGGACTAAATATATACTTTAGCCTAATTTGTATGGTGAGTCATTAAATTCACTTGAGAGTTACACAAGTGGAATCTATAATACAAAACCATATCTTCATGAGCTGATAAAAATAAAGACATGAAACTATCCAAAGATTGTAGAGAGAAGTGTAATGCTGACAGATTCTTGCGCCACAAAGTACAAAAGATTACGATCATTGCAAATATTCTTGATGTGCAAACAATTGGCCCCTTTGATTCAAATAAAATTATGTTCCAATGATTCAAAAGTGACTGATTATATATATACTAGGGATACTTTTACTTTGTCCCCCCAATCAACTTGTGCTGAGTTTCTTTATGTATGAGCCTTCCGAATGAATTTTAACAACTGCCTCTTCTCTTCCTTCTACTCCCCCCCGCCCCCAAAACAGCAAGCAGCCCAGCATATATAAATACAATTTTGTATTTGGTAAACAAACAGGTCTTGCGTAAAAGTAGAAATCGAAAAACACATTAAAAGTAGACCCTGACTTCATTTTATTTTTTTTGTTTTACTCTTTTTTCATAAAAAAAAACATATAACATGTAGATGTGGAAAATTCCCAATGAGATTGGATGCGCTGTGGGACCATCTTTTGGGAGCACAAAAAGGTTCTGATTTGTGGGGCAAAAGCCATTGAATTTTAGGAAGAATCCACACACACACACACACATGCAAGAGGTTTGCCATTCTTTTCCAAAGTGGTTCACTCTTGAGTTATCAAGATTTATGATACGGGTAGTAATGACATTGTGGTCTAACAGTATCAAAATCCCTTTATAAATAGGAGGAGGCGGGTTTGATCTGCTCGGCCATCGTGATGTATCCAATGAGAAAGTTGAAGGATCTTGTTAATTTCTTCTGATATTTGACAGTAAGTTTTGAGGGTTTGTATTGAAGTTGGGGAATTTAGGTGAGATAAGGAAGCAAGAGAGGTGAGTGGTGGTTATGGAATAGACAGGATAGGGAGATAGACATGCATGTGCAAAATGGGTACCACAGAATTGTGCTTTTAATAAATGGAGGATTCATATCAGAGGACAGAGTCTTTAGAAGATGTGGTCAACATGGAATTGGGCTGCAACCAACATGCACATGAGATCTACCACAGTGCTGAAACTGAGGGATATGTTTGTGTGTGCCAATGACATTCCAACTTCTTCATCAGCGATCCAATATGCAACTTGTTTCATTCATCTGTCCTGTGCTTAATAAAACTCCTCGTCCTCAGAGCTATGTTTGGATAGAGGGAATGTATGTGGGGAGAAAATACAGGAGATGGAATACTAGGAAGGAAACCTTCCAAAAATGATTGAAAAAATTTACCATTTTTGAGAGTTTTTTCTCGTAGGATTCTTTCCTCCTTAATTTTCTCCTCGTCCAAACATAGGGGTCGCTCCTAACATATTCTTGTTAATACGATATTATATGTTGTTGCTATGCTCTGTACTTTGTAGTTTTGGACCACGTAGTACATACCCCACGTACCTTGTTGTGTGTTGAAATTTGGAACTATCTGGAAGGTGTAAAAGAAGAACCAAATACGCGATGCAGAAATTTGTTTCGCAGCAGGCTTCATTCTTAATGCTTTGAGATGGGCCAAGCGATGGTTCTCCGAATGCTTTCGAAGGAATAAGTTCTCTTTGATTTTTGACCTTTAGCATCAACCAACCAGCATCCCCCACCTCCTAGTCAAATGCACATCTGTTGTTCTTTCAATAACTTACGTTTGACCTTTCATCATATTCTCACAATTCCATAAATATCTTTGTGATTTATTCTGCAAACTGCATGTCTCAGTCGTAGTTTTTTCTTTCTTTTTTTTAATGACAATGTGATTAAGTATACATGTAGAGAGAATAAATTAAAGTTGGGCCATTGGTAGCCAAGGCAAATCTAACATCCGCACAAATTAGGTTGGGCATGGACTTCACTGATTCACTCCATCCTCTATATCTGGTACTTTTCTGGTCCTAAATATAAGATCCTTATACTAGTACACCCTTATACTAGTACTAGTATAAGGGTCTTATATTTAGGACCGAAGAGTATTAAATTAAATTTTGTAATATAATGATAAAAAATTAATTTTATATGAACAATTATGACTATATTGTTAAAAATATATGAATATGACCTTACATAGATTTGGTTGCATGTATTGTCAATATAGCGAAGATTGCGACAGCAGGAACGCAAGAATACCAGACGAAAATCTGGGCCCATGATAGCATCTGGGAAGACTCGTAATATTTAATGTTGTTGAAGACGTGACGATGAGCATTACAAGTATTGCTGCGAATTTGGTTTCGTTGGCTTTGAACAGGAAAATCCGCAATTTGCAACTCTCCTTTTCACAAACACATAAATGCTGTATATTAATTCCGATCTTAATTATAAAAACTAGTTGACTAATTTGAAAAAATTAAAAAAAAAATAAGTTTAGTTATTTATAATAAATAAATATTGTAAAATATCTTTACTAATCAAATATATTGACTAAAACTATCATTATTAAAAAAATTATCTTGGAAAAAAATATATAAATAGAAGAAACAAAATGAATTGAGATTTTATATTTAAAATCAAATAAAATTTTATATTAAAGACCCGATGTAGTATTAGTTTTTTCTGGTCATTTGTAAAAATAACTTGAGAAGTAAATTAAAGAGTGGAAATAACAACTCTAATGAGGATATGACAGTGGTAGTAAATATAATAATAATAATAGTAGTATTTAACTTCAATAATAGGCAGCAAGCTGCGGGCTACCTGCACCTTCATTTGCAGCCACCTCAGCCCAATCCACCCCACTTTCAACTTCACACTCAAATAATAAAGACTCCACATCACTCACATTACTGTGCTGGCTAATTAAATAACATAAACCAGCAATTTTACAGTTCACTAAACACTTGCTAACCCCAGAAAGAAGCAAAAGAACCAAAAAGTTCAAGTTCCACGTTCATAATCACACAGGCTCACAGTAACACTACTATATGTAATTATAAAAAGTGCCTGTCACTTTTTCCTATCTAGTCTTGTCTTTGCTTTTTCCTGATGCTGCTATCTGAGTTTGACTCCCCGCGGCTTCAAAAACATTCCCGGCAAAATAAAGGGAAGTCGGAAGGCGGGAAAACTGAAAATGAAATCTTAGACGCGGAAATTCTTCCCGGTGAAGGTCTGGCCGAACTGCCAATTGGGAGGCGCCACGTTCCAGGAGGTGGAGGTGCGCCTGTCGCTGCCGGTCACCCGGAAGGAGAGGGCCTGCCCCACCAGGATGGCGTTGGATTGCCAGTTTTGCCCCCAGTTTCGGCTCATGCTCATCCAGTTCGTCTTGCTTCCCTTCACGCTCACCCTCACGAGGTCCCCTGCGCCCGCCACGTTGGTGATCAAAACCAGGTTGAAGTAACGGAATCCGTTGACCGTGAACCTTATTCCCCCGACCTTCCTGCATGGCACCCTGTATATCACACAACACACAAAAATGAATCATTCGGTAAACTTTGCCTGTTTTAAGGTTTTACAGCGCCCGAGGACAGTGGCCTTTTTGGTCTGATGTGTGACCCGACATGGGCATGGAACAGAGTAAAATGCTTTCCCTCTGACTTTCGGAGGCACGGGAAACGCCCTACCCTGATTTCCCGGGAAAATCTTTATTTTTCTCGCACAAAGCTCCGTTTACTTTACCATATTGCCCTCGACGGACCGAGGAAACATGGAATGACACATTAGGACCCAAATCCCGGTAGGAGCGCGGAAGAAGACGAGGATATTTTGGACTTTGCCTCAAAAGAGGGATCCCGAACCCGAAGGAATAAAGAAGCGGGAAGGTGGGGTTATTTCCGTTGGTACTGTTCGGGTAACCGACGAAAACCTTAAATGGGTTCCGAAGAAATGAAAACTGCTGAGCGTTTTCTGAGCGAGCTTTTCTTTTGTCTGGTTTCTGAGGAAAAAAGAAAGGAAACCGCGGCGAACAAGAAGACAACAGTGGGAATGCAATGTTTTGGACAACAGTTTTCGGTTCTAATCTGTGTTCCGCTGGGGACCTGGATCTCGGAAATGACAATTAATTCAGCTCTGATTATGCAACTTTCATAACTGCAAACGACAATGTGGCTTCAATGTTTTATGGACATCCAGACATACAGCTAATATATGACAGTAGTAACCCAGCTCAGAATCTAAATTTCATCATTGCAGCAAACTTATCTAATCGGAATTACTCATGACTTGCAAATCAGTAGTAACCCAGAAGAGACAAAAACATATTCTCTTGAGACAGCAAACAAGAGACTAGCACAAAGTAAACCAGCTCAGAATATAGGAATTTCATAATTGCAGGGGGTTCCTGTAGTGGGAATTGGAAACTCTAGACGACTAGATCAATGCACGAGACAGAGGCTGGCCAAAAATGGGATGAGACGAATTACTCACCGGCGGTAGGTAACGGGGACGATTCCGGCACGGTACTGAGCGATCTTGAGGAACATGGGCATGGCGAGGTCGAAGTGGGGGCGTGGGGGGTTGCACCATCCGCCATTGTCACTTGGAAGAGCGAAGTTGGGGGGACAGAAGTTAGTAGCGGTAACGATGATGGAAGGGCTTCCAGGGTTGCACCATCTGGGGTCTTGGTCACACTTGATCATGAAGCACGCGCCGCAGCTCAGCCCATTGTTGAATAGAGCCGTACTTAAAGCTGCCGTGCTCACTCCATACCCTTGGCTATACAGATTTCCATAGCCACAAGCACCACCTGAGAAATGCACATTACACAACCATTTCAGAAAACATGAATTGATTTAGCTAAACGACAGAAATTAACTATATGTTTTCCGAGATTTTTAAACCGGAAAGAATCGGGGGTGATGTTTTTGTTGTGTAGCGCATTCTGAGTAAGAGGAAAAAAATAGGGGAGAGGGGAGAAAATAGTCAGCATTTAGAAAGAATAAGTAGGAATAAACATGTTTTCCGGAATTGTAAAGTGAAAAATAGAAGGCAATGGAGGAAACATTTCTTGTGAGCTTGAACTTGGAAGTAGGGAAAAAAGGAGGAGGGACCAGGGAGGGGTTATGGAATAAATTAATGGAAAAGGGATTTTGCAGCGTGGAAACAGAAATGCTTGTTTAATTGGAAATGGAAGAAGGCTGGAGGGGAGAGGTGAAGACGATTTTAGCATTTTGGGTAGAGAAAAAATAGAAGATTGAAGAATGAGAAGGCTTACCCATAGTTCCAGAAGCGTCACTGCCGCCGTAGAAGGTGGCGTGAGCGGACTGCCAGGGGCCGCCGGAGTAAACGCCGGGGATTCGAGCAGAGGCAGGAAGAAGCAGCGAGGCGAGAGAGAGAAAGCAGAGGAAGGGCATTATGGAATAGGAAGCCATTGCAGAGGCGCAGAGAGAGAGAGAGAGTGAGAGAGAGAGGAATGGGAGTGGGGGAGAAGGGAGAAGACGGAGAGGGGGTACTTATGGCGGGGCGGAGTGGGGGGAATCAAGTGAACAGGTCTGTTCACTACAAATTTAACTACCCCCTAATTAATGCCCCTCTCTCCTCCTTTGTGTTTTTATCACTGTCCCGGCTAGTTTTTTTCTTTCTTTTTTCTTTTAATGTAATAAGGAAGCAAAAACCCTACTCAACTGAAAAAGGTAAAAACCCATGCAATGAGGCTTTGAGGCTTTTTTTCTGGCAAAAAAAAAAAAAACATTGGTAAATTAGATGATATAAAACATATTATAATTTTGATAAATTTAAAGCTTGCATGCAAAACATGAAAGTAAGGAGGAATGAATACATATACCGCTCGTTTCTATTTACAAGGTAAAAGAAGATGACATTTTTTGTCATATTTATCAGAAAATGACAGAAATTTTTTGTGTGAATATATAATTTTATCTGTCTATTATGTTAACTTTGTTTATATCAAATATAATATACATTAAATACAGACAGAGTTAAAGTATTGTTAAATTTTAAATGATGGTTAATAAAATTTAAAGATTTTTTTTTAATTTTTGTAAAACATATTAAATGTAACTTATAAATAACGTCATAAAAGTATATGAAATAAAAATATGTGGGAATAATATGCCGATAACCTCATAATGAAGTAGTATAAAAGTTTTGAGGTAAGTCAAAAGTTACAATTTTAGTTTTATCTCACCCATAAATAGGAGTGTTAGTGCATAATCTTCTAGTTAAGAAAAAGGAAGGATCTTTTTTTTTTTTTTGGAGGGGGGGGGAAGGGTTTGGGAATATGTTGGGCGGGTGAGGAAGGAATGGGGAGAGAAGAGACGAGAAGCATGTGGAGGAGGCATGGGAGTTGTTGCTGTTAAATGTTGGGCGTTGTGTTGTGCGGTTAGTGTGAATGTATGATCCCAACTTGAGCTCCCACACACACACACAGTTATATATGTCAAAAAACCATCTCCTAATTAATGAACCCATCTTCTTTTCTTTAATTTATTTTTTTAAAAAAAATACCCTGAATTAATTCATCCTTCGCTCTTCTCTCTCGTGTCTGTTTTTCCAATTTGGCACAAATATCCACTCACCTCCTTCCACTTCAATAATTCGTTCCATTATTTGTGCATATATGGCTTCCTGTTCCTTTTTCCGCTTTTCGCTACCCTCCTCCTTCATTCTTGTTACCCTTATCTTTCCTATCACTGCCTCTTCCCCCTCTCATATGAACTAGTTTCTCAGATCTTTTCACCACGCATTCACCTTCATGTGAACTAATGCACCATCCAACTATTGTTCTCTTCTCTTGCTGACACCGTCGTGCAATTAAAAAAATGACACTTATTAGCCAATTAACTGTGTCCAAATCAACTAACAAAAGTTAGTCTAGTTGGTGAGGAGTCTGGCTTATAACCTACAGAGTTGTGAGTTTAAATTCCGCTGCCGATATGGGGGCCTTATTGGTTGGCGATCTATAAGTGTCTCTGTAAGTGCTTTTCCAGTCTAGAGGCACGTCCTGATCCTGATAAGCTCCCAGAACTCAATTCACCTAAACTTTTTATTACAAAAAAAAACTGTGTCCAAATCATGTTAGGTAAAGTAATTACACGCTGTTCAAAATAAAATAAGTTTAAATATAATGTATTTTTAAAATCAAGGGATCATGAAATGTAAATCAATTCGAAGGATTAAACTAGAAACCCACATAAAATTTTAAAAAAAAATTATATAAAGAAAAGAAAGTGGCCATCTTTACTAATAGGTGGTTTGAAGTTTGAAGGAAGATTTGGTGGGAAGCGGCATGATGAAAGTAACCGGAGGGAGGGAAGCATGCGAAAAAGAAAGAAGGCAGTTAAAAGGGCGTGGGAGGGGTATTTTAGTCATTTAGTGGATAAGCAGCGGAATAGTGTGGGGACCACAACCCCGATGACAACACAACAGCGCCTTCGCGCAGGTTATCTTTTGATTTGAGACCCCCCCGGCAGCATAAATGGGAATGGGCCTTTTTACCCTGAGTGGGGTCCACCTTGGGCGTCGTGCGCCCCTCCCTCACCTTCGCTTTTTTTGTACGCTGTAATTCCATGCACGCACATAAAGGCTCAAGCCACCATCCACCCGCACCGTCAAAACTTCAGGAAAAAATTCAAAAAAAGTGGCCGTCGAATTATATTTATAAAAGAAATTACTATACTCAAAAAGCAAATAATAATATATTTTTATAGTAATTTTTAATTTAAAATTTTGAAATTCAACAATTATTGTTTTGGGATTTTCCTAAACTTCAAACCTTCTCCATTTTTTCAACCCTATTTTCCTTTTTTTTTAAAAAAAGAAATTAATTACTGCAGGCGCTTCACAAAAGTTCCCAAGTTCAGATGATACAAATAATGATAGTAATAATTCCATGAAACCGACAGAAAAATGGAAGCTTGAGGCGAAGGAGATCTTATGAGGCGGATTTGTTATGAAAAATGGGGCAAAAAAATAAGGGAAATAAATGTGAGCGAGCAAAATACAGGACGGGAGCGATGTGCGCCACCAGGCTTAGGTTGGGAGTCACATCAAACCCTAAACCCATGTGCTGTGTCGCCGCATATCTTCTCGTTTCCTTCATTATCATTATTTGCCCCATTTCTATAAATAATTCCCCTCTATTCATTTTTACAATATATACATTAAAAAAAAAGCAAAAAGAATTGTAAATAAAAATTCATTACAATATTAGTATTAGTTTTAACAACAAATCATAACAATTTTTTGTGAATGGATTCCTATATGCATTTTTTCAATTTTTTTGAATTTTTTTGTGATTTTTCTAATGTATATCACTCGATTTCATTTTCTCTCCCCTTCTCATTCTTCTTGCCTTTTATTTTACCTCCTCATGATCTCATCTTCTCTCTTCAACTCTCAAAATAGTTCCATGCCCTGAATTCTGAAGGTTTTCTCATCCGGACTAAACAGATTACTAGACGTTTTGTTGTTGGCGTTGCGTGTCTGTGGGGTCCATAGCTCAGTGGTAGAGTATTTGGCTGCAGATCAAGAGGTCATCGGTTCGAACGCGGTTGGGCCCTTATTACTTTTAACTTTTGCTTTTTCTTGTGTTTCTCTCCTTCCCTTCTGTGAAAAAATTTCATGTGCAGCAGCATTTCTATTCGTCGGTTCAAAACAGGATTAAGAGTCCAAAGTCCAAACAGAGACAAATAAATTAAGTCAAATTAAGATAATTGTTTTTTTCAAAAAAAGGCCATTGACCGCATGCATCTCGAGAGAAGATTGAGTCCCATTAGATACAACGTTGAATACATAAACATACAAGCTGTAGAGTCATTAATATAAAATTTAATTAATAAATTTGAAAAGATTTAGAAACTAAATAAACTGTTTAATTATAATATATGTTACTTAATCTCTTTAAAATATTTTTATGCATTATTATGGTATATATCAGTCTATAAGTTAAACAAATTAGTTTGAAAAAATGATAAATATAAATAATTTAAAATAATTTATTTAGTTTCTTTAATCTCTCTAAATTAATCAATTCTATTTTGCAAGAACTATAAATTAGTTAATTATATGTTCGTTTTTCTTTTGGAATGAATTTATGGGCAAATATAAAAAGGCGGAAAACAGAGCGGGGTGTGATGATGACACGTGTCAGCGAGGGGGAGCATGAGAGGAGCTTTCATATTGGAGGAGCAGTAATGAAGGGATGTGCGTGCGAGGAAAGGGCTTGGTGCAGTTGGAGGCTGGTAAAATGAATGAACAGGGAAGCGTGAGTGACACGTAGGCCTTTTTATCCAACAAAAAGTGATCCCTCTTTTCACCCACCAACCAGATCCCCCAAATCTTCCACGTCACCGCACCCATACTTCAACCGCACGCCACCTACCATGCAACCCAGCGCATGTGAACCTTTCCACCCATATCCCCCCTCCCCCCATGTGATCCATCTATCCTTCTATTTATCTGTTTATATCCTAATCCTATCCCTTCCTTCTCTCTCTACTCTCTGCTCTGTCCCCTCTCATGTTAACTCAGTTTTTGTATCATCACCGTCATCATCATTTTTTTTTTAAATCGTGCATATAATGAATGTATGCATTTGGGAAATCTTAATTTATAGTTAAAAAAATATTTACAGCTAATCATATGATCACCTGAACATTTATAGAAAATTTATTCTAAAGTATTGCGCTTAATTATTTTCTCACTAAAATAGTGCACCACCTTGACAAGAAATCATAACTGCCTTCATTCTTCTTCATCAAGCAACCCTCCCACCACCACCAAATTGGGAAAAAAAAAATAGTTGTGATCTTTTAATGTACGTGTATGTTATTTGTAATAAAAAGGTATTATTGTTCCTAAAATACCTTTGTTAATATGTGTCTTGGTTAGATCTGTCATTTCATATGACTTTTAATATCTGTAATTACTATAATGACTATCTTAAAAAAAGAATAAATATAAAAGATAAGGTGAATTGAAGTCTTACATTGATAATCAAATTAAATATCAAACCAACTCTTTTATTAACATTTTGTCAAAAAAAAAACTCTCTAGGGTTGAATTGTTATGTCAAAATCTACACGAAAAAACCCTCATTCATAAATTATTTTGTTTTGTTGGCGCTCTATTTCATTTTAGCCCATTCATCCATGTTCTGATTTTTTTGTCCTGACGTATACATACATACACACGTACAAAAATATATTCATTGTTTTTCATATATTTTTTTTTCCTTATTTTAAACAGAAACTTCATGCCAATAATATTAATTGCAGGTGTGCATGCACTTTTTGAACGGATATGTTCTAAGCCATCGACTGAAAAACAGTACACACACAAATTATTCATATCCAAATGGATTTATTAATTTTCGAGATCCAGTGAAAGAGACGAAGCATACAATTATATATATATATATATATATATATTTTAAAGCATATGGAGAACGGAGAAACTTGTACG